ATGCATCTCAGGTTCACTTTATTCGTCTGTCTAAACCTATATCATTGCTAAATTATATTGGACTGTGCACACAATCGTCTGTATTAGTCTGACATTTTATCTAACCGAAATCTTACCACGCTTTTGTTGAGCTGTCTAAACCGATATCTTAATTGTCTGGCATTCTGTCTCACTCAATACCTTAGTACTGATACTTTAGTATCTTACCTGACATCAGTCAACTGACATCTTCGCAGCCGGCAATGCATTTCATATTTATTTATTGAAAATTAAGTGACATTTTGTCCATAGAACAGGTATGGGTTGAACTTTACGCTACACTATACACATGCATGTAGTGACCAGGTGATAATCGAACTGAAGATTAGATAGCAATGAGATTATGTCTATTCTACCTATATATTGATCTTTACTTGCTTGCATGTGTTTGTGACGGGTGGCACCGGTGAGACAGGATACGCTCACCTTTTCGTGAACACCTGGTGTCATCACTATTTGATAGTGATTAATAAACACAAGCTTATGCTGTGGTCGGGATCATACAATGGACTCTGCTCTTAGCAGAGATTTCTTATGGAAAGGGTTTTGTTGCTTTTATATAAATATTAGGATAATGGAAATGGTTATTGTCGCTTTCATTTACCTTTTGAATACAAGCCATGTTGGAGTTAGGGTCGAGACAAATAAGATTTACAAGCTGTTCCCAGTTTGTTTTTATTATGGACTTCAAGGGGATCTAAGGTTCTATGTTGGCATAAAAATTTAAGTTTAATATTCTATGTTCGGTGGTCATAAATGTCATTTCACCATCTCAGACATTATGTGCGTATGTCGTATTCAACAATCACTCACCCCTAATTACAATGAAAATACTTCCGAGCTAAAAACACCTTTCTTGAATAATTTGTTTATCAGCTCTGCCCAGAGAGCAGAAGGTCGATGGTACTATCAACAGGTCGCGCCATACCAAAACAAAGATTGCGCTCAGTATTTAGTCAGGAAAAAAATATGCAAGAAGTGGTCAACCCAAGAGTCCATATAATGGGTCTGCCTCTGGTTTCCATGTTAAACTGCGACATGGTATCTGAGTAGACTAGTACTATACAACGGGCATAAGTCTGGACTAGTACAAACAGCCACACACATGCATACACGTCACTTTATAAGTGAAACAATCTCGAACCCCATTTCCCCCCATCTCACCTGTTTATCAACGTAATGGCTTCATATAACTGAAGCGTCTGTAAAATGTGCAGTTTAAACACCCTTACCGAAGTCACAAATGTACTCTTCACATGAATCAATTGTTAAAGCTATTTATTTATTTATTGGATTCTACACTGATCTGCAATATGATGTAATTATCGGGTACCTGGAATTGTATCGGACATCGAAGAATCCATGCATAAAGGTGCCCGTTGCACATCCTCACTGACTGGAGGCGGAGAAGCCCAGTTGCTGAAGCCCTCTTGATGTCCCTGTCGTGATGCGGCTGACAAATTTGTAAATTTAATTAAATCGCCACTAGCGTTGTCACACGTTCACAGTTTTTTGCAAGCTATTCTGCTTGTTATTGTCCTACACAAAACGTTTAGAGCCTAACTCAGATTTTTCCATCTATATGACATCGGGTTGTGAATATTTGAGTATGGCCCCTACAGACTAGGACCCGTGAAGACCCGGGGTAGAATAGGTCTTCAGCAACCAATACTTGCCGTAAAAGGCGACTATGCTTGTCGTAAAAGGCGACTGACGGGATCGGGTGGTCGGGGCTCGCTGACTTGGTTGATGCACGGTCATCGATCCCAATTGCGTGGATCGATGCTTATGATATCAATCACTGGATTGTCTGGTCCAGACTCGATTATTTACAGACCGCCGTCATATAGCTGGAATATTGCTGAGTGCGGCGTTTAACAACAAACCAACCAACCAACCTACAGACAAGTGACTGATATCAAGAGAAACGTCCGCGCCGTCGAGTTAGGACGACCTGTAATCAACCAAGTAACAAGTCTCGGACCACCCGATCTAGAGATCACTCGATCTCTTACACTCTGCAAATTATATGTTCAGGTTATAAAGTGACGATTCGTTTGAGCTATTTTGACCTTTATACCAAATGGAATCTGTTTCGGTGGATAATCTATACTGGTTATTTGTTCTCTTGGATTTATATTTGCAAGTGTATGTGAGGTGAGGTAAAATGGGGTTTAACGTCTCGTCCAAGATTATTGCACTTATATAGCGACGTGCATGCACGTGTATGTGTGTGTGTGTGGCTGCTTGTACTAGTCCGGACTGATGCCGATTTATGGTGCTAGCTCACTGAGATACCATGCCGCAGTTTAACATGAATACCCCACTCAGACACAGTATACTGACTCCGAGCCGACCAGTCCTTGTTTTAGCCCCTTAATGCCGAGCGCCAGACAGGGTAACAACAAGTACCATCTTTTAACGTCTTTTGGTATGACGCGGCTGGGGATCGAACCCCGGACCTTCCGCTCTCCGGGCGGACGCTCTACCATTAGACCACGGAGGCGGTCTGCAAGTGTATGTTTAGCTATAGGTAATATACAGTGACGATGGTCATAACATTAAGGACCCGTGAAGATCCGGGGTAGAATTGGTCTTCAGCAACCCCTGCTTGCGTAGATCGATACTCATGATGTCAATCACTGAATTGTCTGGTCCAGACTCGATTAGGTACAGACCGCCGTCATATACTTAAATATTGCTAAGTGCGGCGTTAAACAACAAACAAACAAACATGAGGTAAAGATGGCTTTGTGAAGGAGATCAAGGACCCGGCTGATATACATGCTGACTAAATCATGACTGAACTTAGTCGCAACCGATCATAAAGACAGGGAATCGATAGTCACGTACATCCTTCAATAAGCGCCGTGCGTTTTTCCGGTCAGTCCTCACGGCCTTTGTTCGTGTCAGGCGTCTAGTTTTCAGAGTTTATTACTTGTATTTCAATATTTGTCATAAACCTAAAAACCTTAGGCAAACTCCGCCACCTCCACCTCCACCTCCCCCGCTACTGTTTCCTGACGTGTTGATGACAGTGTTTGGAGCTTGTGTTGCTTTTTTTGCATCTAAATGATGTCCCTGACTTCGTGTCATTGGCTACAGTTGATCCTATTAATGTTTTGATAAGTTTGTGGAGTTTTTATTATTGACTAAGATATATATCTATATATTGATTTAAAGTTTAATATTTTTCCTTTGCAATTTAATGCGAATTTACAAAGTGTGCCCAGCGTTTATTACGTTTATACCTTCATAAACATACACTTGAAAGTTGGATAAACCAAACATTTACAAACGTTAACAAAGATATTTCCATCGAGTAACCATTTCTTGTTTCTTTCATGTTTAGCCACCATTAAACATGGGTATATACAATGTACTTTCTTTTGACGACAGGTTATATTCTAAAATGTTGATTAAAACTCCCTGGTTTACAATTTTCAGGGGAACAGAAGAAAATATCCATTTTGGCATGAAAAGTGTTCTTTTCAGTTAGGTCTCGCTCCTCCTTAAGACTGAATAATGGCACCGTTGAAAACGTAGCGAAAAATATTTTGTGATTATTCACAGCAGGCGCTTGTTTTTGTCGATGCGTCGGTTGATACTGGCGTAATTAGCAACAAAGGCAACTATTCAACCATTTACTGTTACTTGTGTACGGTTCCTAATACCTACTTCATAAGCCACTCGTGTGTATTCATTGCCCATCCAACCAGTGCGTCTGCTTTGTTGGTCATCATGATATTTCGCAAGGCTATCACATTCTGTTCATCATTGCCATTATATTACACTCCGTTAATAGTTAATAGTTAGTACCTGTGTCATTGCAGTTCTTCGGTTACTGTGAAACAGATGCCTCAGCTAACAGATTGCTGCATTGACGGGTTAAAAACCGATAATTACAAGTCGCGAGCTTGCTGAGCAATATTATCTGAAAGTAATCGTCTATGCGAGGATAAAAAAAATCGATCAAGAATCCAGCGTTCGTTATCACTAACCACCATTTCCTATTCCCTAAGAAAATCTGTTTTACATGTATTAAAGAAGTTGTTTTCCATAAAAAATGTGTCTACCTTGTCATCCGTCAACTTCTAAGTAATGCCTATCAAACAAAGAAATAAGTATGAAATGTCAATTTTATTCGATAACTGCATCATAAATGTTTATTTAAAATCATCATCTTAAGCTAACATAAAGCCATATAAGGATACACTGATATTGTTTGGACAAAAAGGAAACGCTATTAAATATGTCCGTCGGGATGACCTCGTGAGGGAATACATTGAGATTAAAGATATGACAAAGTGTTAAAACACAGAAAGAATCACCATTGTAATTATACAGCCTCGTATTATTTGCAATAATATTTCACAGTGTACCCCAACAAATGTGTCTGCTGTGTGTGTGTGTGTGTGTGTGTGTGTGTGTGTGTGTGTGTGTGTGTGTGTGTGTGTGCGTGCGTGCGTGTGTGCACACCTTTTTCAGAAACCTCACAAAATCCGGGATCCGCCTCTGTATCAACCTTACATTTGAACTATTTTGTGACACACAAATAGTTCTATAGTGTATTGAAGAAAATATATAAAAAGAGGTTATTGTTTTCCTGTTAACACGTCCACACAACATGTATAATGCGCCAATTACTGCTCTTTCCAGTAAATATATAGTTGAACACCGTTGAAGTCGAAGGAAATTATCCAAATATTCAAGATTCTTTATTACAGCATTAGAGCCTCGTGGTCCAGAGTACAATTCATTTATACATAATTTATTTGTGGATCTTACACTATTGATGTACAATATATTCCATGATATGTGATATAAATCATAATACATAATACATTTTTTTAATTTAATTTACATAAATGTTTATTCAGATATAGTCTGTCTTACAGACCCTGATACAAATATATATCAAATACAGCCCATGCAAGTCTATAATGTTTGGCAAGTCTAGATCACTTTCTGAAAATGAAGAGAGTCACTGGGCTCCTTTTTATTATATTTTTATTAAGATAACTGAACAACTGCTTTTTTTTATGTACGATATGTTCATTTCAGAGACTAGATTTTAGTCTAATTCAGATACAAAGCAATACCTCTGATTATTGAATGTGTTGTGGAATACTTTGCAGCAGCTGATCAACCTTAGTTTTTACATTATGTTTACCCACCGCCGATTTTCAAATGTTGAAAGAGAACTACGAGAAAGAGTGTGAAACCTGGCTAAAATACTGATCCAATCACTATCTAATACACCTCATGAAATAGTCATCTCTGGCGCAAGTTATGACGTGTATGAAATATGTGACATGACATCGGAGCTGGAACTGTTTTGAAACAATTTGTGTGTCTCTATATCTACACATCTCTGTTTAACATAGGTATGAATCCCTCAGTATTTCCACAATCTTGTGCAATACAGACATAAGAAAAGCTCTGTTTAAAACTGTAACAATAGTGACCTGAGAAACCCAATTTAAAGCCCCAATCGCATCATGGGATTTTAAAATTTTATAACAAGCGTGGGAGTTTTTTTATACGAATAAGTCTACACAAATATTTTAAACACCTGCTACAGTACTTCATACACAGATTATAAAGGCCTACTTCGCCCAAAAGGGAACTTATTTGTCCTCGTTATCCATGTTTCAGATATCTTTTTAAGAATAAACTGTGTACTTTTTCAATAGATTCTTTGTATGTATGCCCCCAAATGTCACTACCATAATAGAAAAAGGGGAATTTCTTTTAACCAAGTAAGCCAAAATGTCTTCAAACATGACTTCCCAGCTTGCAATGAAAGATCCAGAAATACTTTCTCAACGTCATTGACAACACCACAGAATGATATGGTACGTGAATTGCAGTAGATTATTAAAGTGCATAGGTATTAATAAAAAGGTAATATAAGAACTATGTATTTGCATTTCATTTTCTAATGGTAAAATGAATAACATATATGTACATGATATATATATAAGACAACAAGTTACTTTTCAAAGGGTTTTTTTGGTTTAGACAAAATAATAAAAACCGTTCGAAATCAAACGTACAAAGGTATGTAGTATTTACCGGAGCATGCACTATGATGAAAAATTCCATCAAACATTGCTATTTCATTCGACGGAAAACACTGTGAACATGCACGTTTTCAGTCATGTGAGCGTGCAGAAAACACACGGTAACAAGTTTCAAAATACATACTCAAAATCAAAAGTTAAACAAAGACGGATTTTATTCACCGCACAGATATAAGCATGTGCACACTTATCAAAAACAGATAGATATTCTATGTACACATAATTGTTCAGTTAAATACTGTTCCATTATATCAGATCACCATGTAAAATAACGATGTGTCAGTTGGAAGGAGCTTCATGTTTCCACTTCCAGTAGAGTATAGTTGTGAAAACGAATCCGTTGCATATTGTGGCTGATTGATGTGTACACAGGGACCATGAAGACACTATAAAAGCAATATCAACTGTAAGAATACTCAAGGAAATGCCATGCACTGCTGTCAGTAGTGAGAGTGTCAGCATTCCTAAACTCTCTGATATGTATGGAATATTAATTGCAATTTCTGCCGGTAATAACGCGGCAACCGGATTCCATTCCACTATTAACCCCCGTGCCAGTTACTCTATTTGCGACATTTATATACTTGTGGTGAAAAAATTCCCGCTCTGCTTAACTTTTGGTTACGAGTATATAACACAATAATATCAATCATTAAAATTTATGCTCGTCAAGATGTTTTAAACAGAACATGAAACGGAATCTGGAGTCGACTGTTGAACAAGACGTGTTATAGATATACAGAGGTAATATTATGTACAAGTAAGTAGTTTCTGACTATGAGACATCCTACTAGCCACACTTTGTTATGTGTCAAAGACATTTTACCAAGGTCACCATTACATGTGTATTACATTCATTCTTATTGAGGGGAATATTGGAATTGGCTTCTGCAAAATTAAGCTTATGCGTATTATACATATTCCTTGCTTTAAAAATAACAAAAGTATTTCGATGATGTATATATATTCATTTATAAATTTCAATATACATACTTTTAATAACTTTGGAAAGTATCTCTCATTCCCTTACAATTGAAGGCTATGGTCTCTGAAATCCTTTACTCAATCCCTTTACCCAGTCCTTTCCTATAAAATGTTTAGTTGAAGTCAACTAATCTGCATCTGATGTTTCAATGGTAAAGGTCACAGATGAAGCTTGTATCACCTCGCGTTATATTATCATTATTATTAACGTTATCATTATTATAAATATTATGATACGATTAATATTCTTTTTACGTATTAGAGAAGAGACAATAAATAGAATTTCCCAAACAATACATATTTTTGTATAGTTCGACTTCAATGTACCTATGAATATAAATTATTGTATACAGATGTAATATTCTACTTAAGTCTACTGTAATTTATTACAAATGCGAAACATAGATACACCTGCCACCATATCAAATGTAGACGGTGTGGTTCGTTCTTGAGGAAATTGCTTTCAGTAGCCGCTGCATTGTCCAGTCACTGGATGGAGGTCATACTCTTCTCCTTTTGCCCAAGCTTGAAGCCTGTGATTAGTGTGGTCAGTATGAAGCTGATGGCTTTGTGGTAGATATCCGCCATGTGGGCAGAGTATCTGTCCCCTAGTGTCTCTTTCACTGCCATAAGGAACGGGTCCCGGATAAGCTGAAGGAAAATGAAGCATTTGACCTTAACATAAAACTATGGAGTGACAAATCCAAACATGAGGTCTTCATCACTCCGTATGTATATTCTGCTGAAAGACCAAAGAACGTGTTTTTGTTGTTGTTGCGATTTTTTTAGGCCGCACTCAGCAATATTCCAGCTATATGACGGCGTATAAATGATAAATAATCGAGTCTGGGTCAGACAATTGACATCATGACAAGAGATCTACGGAAATTGGGATACGAAGACATGCATCAACCAACGAAGACTGACCACCCGATCTCCATTGTCGTACCTTACTACAAGCATGGGTTGCTGAAGACCGATTTTATCTGTGTTCACACATCACATACATTGTACATGCGCTTTATGCCTGTGAGATCCGGGTTAAAATTGTTCTTCAGCAACCTCATAGCGAGTGCTTGGTCATGTCGCAGTTATGTATCTATGTTTATAGCTAAAATGGAAAGAGTTATCATTAAACCGCCCGCATGTTATCAAAAATGAGCGGGCCTCTGTAACTTGATAATGCCCTCATATTGCTTGACGACGGGCCATTATCACGCCCGTTGCTAGGTGACGTCATAGGATAGGGATAGATGACGTCACGTTCAAAAGTGACGTCATCTGGTTTGTTCTATGGCGTTTCCATATTTGTAAAAGTGGGTCAGTCACATATATGTTGATTGCAGTAAATGTTTCAAAACCGATATTGTTTCTTTTTATCTGATAACAAATTCCATCCATTTTAGCTATAATAACGGTAACGCTATTTTTCACGGCATTATCATTTGCACAAACCCTCGGTCATTTCAACTGCATTCCTTCGTCGGGAAGTTAATGGAAGCCCTCGTGCTTCTGCAAATGATAATGCCCTGAAAAATAGCGTTACCTTTATATAAGATAGCTATACGATAAATCGCAAAGAACAATGAAAAACGAAGCGTGGTTTATTTCACGATAAATCGCTCTCTCATGACGTCATTTCTGAGGATTCGAATATACGCTAGCAGCTTGACGACGTCATATACTGGATTACGTTATGTTTTTAAAGGGAAGGGTCTAGTAAGTTGCTCCCCATAGATGTAGCTGGACTAGGCAGATAAAGGCAGAGGCCGAACGATCGCATCCCAAAAGGGAAGAGATAGGACAATCTGTATAAGGAGAAACCATCTAGTAACATTGACACTAACGTTTAGGATTGCTGAAGACCTTGTAGTGTCAAATAATTCCATCAATCACATTACCATGACTACACAAAAATAGATAATGGAAACTTGGTTCAAATGAAACACGATGCATTTACAAATGCAAGGAACTTAAATTCGAGCATTTCTATGAAACGCTTAGTGTATACAGAAGGAAAGACATTCATCTTCAAATTGAGTTGAGTCATGTCATGCTAGTACCTGATGTTAGTCAAAGTTAAACGAATTATGAAATGAACATGTCACGAGCAGACAGAATCACATCCCTACTAGACGCTGGACATTTAGAACCCAGGCGAATACCAGGATTACTCCGACCGTTTACAAAAATGGACAATTGCACGAACATCTTCACATATAGGTGTCACGACCTACTACATCACGCTGGTTCTGTATCATGTCTCTACAATCAAAATGATCATTCGATTAAATGAAAACGTGCAATAGCAATCATGAGGATGTAGGTCCTTATACGTAAGTCCTCATATCTTACACAAGGAATATGTTTCGTCAGTATGTTCTGAGTATGTCAAGGGGATCAGAAGGTGAACCGCCACCTTTAGTCCTATATATTAGTAATACGGTATATATATATATATATATATATATATATATATATATATATATATATATATATATATATTGGTAAGCCTTTGCAGTAGAGACATGGGTTTGAGGAAAAAATGATCTGTTGCCTTTTGTCATTTGAAATAAAATATTGGTGGGTGAGCTTTTGCCCAACTATGAACAGTATTTCGTTGCTTCAGTCCACGAGCAGGAATATGGTATCGACAAATTAAAAACTATCGTCAGGATTAATCTGGAAATCGAAATTTCAATTTTAAGAATCTGGCACGCTCGATGGACGCAACTCTGTATACCGAATGGGGACAGATGCCTAGACAACCTAACCCGCCCCCGCCCCCGCCCCCGCCCCCGCCCCCTTTGACAAGAAGAAAATCCGTTGAAAGAAGTAAATATTTATAGACAACGGATATCAACATGGGAAATCAGTCGTAGAATAAGAATCTAGTTACTGCAGATATCAGTTTTGTTTCGTTTAATTGTGGGGGCGGTCGGGTAGCCTAGTAGGTAAAACGTTCGCTCGTCACGCCGTAGACCCGGGTTCGATTCCCGACATGGGTACAATGTGTGAAGCCCATTTCTGGTGTCCCCCGCCGTGATATTGCTGGAATATTGCTAAAAGCGGCGTACTCACTCACTCACTCACGTTTAATTGTGACTATGATAGGGTTAAGATGACAAACTGTTAACCATCAAGTAGGCACGATTGGCCTCATGGTCTATAGAACCACTATTTGCTGCGCTTGTTGCGGTTTTAAAGATGAGTTTCACAAAAGTGGTAAACGTCTACGAATTGCGTCATGTCAGGCTTTCCTCTCACATTGATATAGCTGTTATTAGGTTGAAAGCCTACCCCATTTCACTTACGCCCTAAACCAACCAGGCTAAATATGTCAATATGTGAACATATAGTCAGTTGTCATAGTATAGGAAACTTTGAAAGTTTTTGTTTAACGCTGCACTTAGCAATATTCATGCCCTATATGGCATGGTCTGTGAATAATCAAATCTGAACCAGATAATCCAGTGATTGACATCATATGAATGGGTCTACGCAATATGGATACGATGCCATGCGTATAGGAAACAATAAGAGGACCGATATTTTGTTTTTGGGTGATAAATATGTTTTGTTAGTCTCTCAAAACGGGCAAGAGTTTTTTAAACTTATCTCAGGCACCCTTTTTATCCCAATTTCACATCTCCTTACTACCAATCGATCAATCGACTTTTAACTAATCAGATTGAAATATTTTCTGCAATGTTTACATGCGTACCGTGTTAATCATTTTTATGACATGATCACGTGTTCCATCCTGTAAGTGGCAGTGTTTTCAGCTTATAGTAAGAAGATTGTGTGGAATATAGTTTATTAATCACGTATAGCAACCGTCCAAGTTCAAGTTCAAATCTTGAGAAAAATCCATGTAATCCGCGAAAGGCTGCTCTTAACGGTCTTGTATAAAGTATATTGTTTTATTTTTGTGCAACACGGGCAATACATGTGGTTGGTTACCACAATATTTACTTGGCAACCAGTGTAATCATTCAAATACGCTGATGTAATGAGGAATGTCCTGATAAATAGAGAGAACAGGAAATAGTTGTCATGACAACCCAGATAAGACATTGTACAATAATACAAATTAACAAAACTGGGAAGTGTAATGTGGTCACTGAACGGTGTGATCCGACAGACAACTGATAAAATGTGGTCTGTAAATGAAACCCTTACCAACTTAACTACAGGGGTATCGCTGCCACATGGAAGAAGAAACAGTCTACAAATGTTGTCATCAAGCTTTACTCGCGAAACAGTGAACATTTATAAAGATGGCAAGATGTCCTTAGGAAACGGGAGAGCATGATATGCCCTGCCATAAGCACCAACTGGTATGAAGGTCGATGTCTAAACGAAATTGGCCCTGGACAAAAGTCAAAGCAGAAGAATATAGTTTGACGACACTCAGTATTTCTGCATATGCCGTCGGCACCGCATCAACAAGCTGCGCGTAGCATACAATAGTTTTAAATATTATCACAATGTCAGATATTTCATTAGCACAATGTAGGTTATCTTACATGATGATGAATCCGACCTAGGTCGTGTTCATATGTATGTAAGATGAATTCCAATAAGGACACAGCTGCACGACTGGCTTGTGGCTATTACACTCTGGCAAGTGTAGGCCACCAGTAGCCTATGCGTGTCGTACGGGACAGCCGACCTGTGAAGATCTGGCATAGAATAGGTCTTCAGCAATCTATTCTTGCCGTAAAATGCTACAATGTTTGTCGTAAGAGGCGACTAACGGGATCGGGTGTCAGGTTCACTGACTTGGTTAATGAATGTCACCATATCCCAATTGCGTGAATCGATGTTCATGATGTCAATCAATAGATTGTCTGGTCTAGACTCGATTATATACAGACCGCCGGCATGGATGGACTGCAGCTGTAGATGGAATACAGCTGAGTGCGGTGGTCAGCCTTGATGACTTGGCAGATTGCATGGTGACCGATTATGTGTCATTGTTCCCCGATGGTGTGTATCGTTGCTCATGCTTTCCGTCGCTGGTTGATCTGGTCCAGATTCGATTACTTACAAGTCGCTGTTTGCAGCGTGAGACAACATTCACTCACTCATCTTTGTCAGAAAGGTGGATGAAATCATATTGTTTCTGTAAATGTCAACCTATAAATGAAAAAAAGGATATATATCTTACCCAAAATATATCGGGATCAAACTTGCTGAAGCGCAAGTGTGTTTTCCCCACGTGCGTGAGCATATCGATGACAAAGTCCGGCTCATCAAGCGACATCATCGCCTCATCTATCGTCAGCATCACACCGCGCACGTGACTCTCGAGAAGACCACTCTCGCGTAGTTCGCTCAAGGTAACGTCTTTGTTGATGGTGCTAAAGAAGTTCTTCACACTCTCGTTCTGCTCGAAGAGACTGGAACACATGAGAATAGGACATATTACAGTATTTGTTTGTTTGTTTGTTGTTCAACGCCGCACTCAGCAATATTCCAGCTATATGGCGGCGGTCTGTAAATAATCGAGTCTGGACCAGACAATCCAGTGATTGACATCATGAACATCTATCCACGCAATTGGGATCGATGACATGCATCAACCAAGTAAGCGAGCCTGACCACCCGATCACGTTAGTCGCCTCTTACGACAAGCATAGTCACTTTTTACGGCAAGCATGGGTTGCTGAAGACCTATTCCACCCCGGATCTTCAAGGGCCACATATTGCAGTGAGAAAGTAATGTCTCACGATATAGAAACAAGGCGACTTCTCACAACAGATGAGGACGGGTGTATATATACGAATATTACCAGATCATTTTCTTTACATCCGGCATAATTTACCCTGGAGGATTGCTGCAGTTTTATTTGGGGGATTTACGTTATCGCTATTAATCTTATAATAGATGTTACATTTCCTGGTAGTCTTTGTATTCTTACTCGATCCTTTCATCTTTCATCTGACGAACAGTCCGGGCTTAAATTGGTCTTCAGCAAACCATGCTTGTCGTAAGAGGCGACTATGCTTGTCGTAAGAGGCGACAAGCGGGTTCTGGTGGTCAGCTCGCTGACTTGGATGATGCTTGTCATCGTATCCCAATTGCTCATGAGCAAGGGGATGTGGAATTGGGACAGGAAGAGTGTTTAAAAACAATTGTCCGTTTTGAGAGACCAACACATTACTTGCCCCCCCCCCCCCCCCCCCCCCATCGTCTCCCAATGTCAGTCAATAGATTTTCTGGTACACACTCGATTATTTAAAGACCACCGTTATATAGCTTGAATATTGCGGAGTGCGGCGTTAAACAACAAATAAAATACTAACGAACAATAATAACGGTCTTTTATCAATTCATATATGTCTTAACTCAAATAGATTCATAATTCATATCTGTATATTATGTCCAACTATGTATGTGTCCGGATTAGAAAGAAGATCGTTTCAATATATATCGCGCAGTGACCCAGTGCTTTGAATAGGATGTGCGTTACGTTGTTACGACGTAATTTGTAATAACGCGGTAAATTGTAATAACACTGCGGTAAAATGTAATAACACTGCGGTAAATTGTAATTCATACTACGGTAAATTGTAATAAAAACTACAATTTACCGCAGTATTACATTTTACCGCAGTGTTATTACATTTTACCACAATTTATTACAATTTCCCGCTTTATTACAATTTACGTCGTAACATACGTCTCAGTGTTGGTTTGATAATCCATCACTGCACAGTTGGAAATGTATTGTACAAAATAGCAAACCCCATAAACATCGTGATGCCGGTCTCATCCATGTTTCTTGCTATTGCCTTCCACGACCTCTTCAGAAGGTACACTTGACGACCTGCAATGGGTATCCGTGGGTCATCTTTTATTATGACCCGACTCTGGGATTTCGAGGGTCCGGATTTGCCATTCATGTCCTGGTTATGACCATTTCTTGTAGAAACTGTCCCGGAAGCCGAGCAGCCCATTGTGAATGTAGACTGTTATAAATGTTGTTCAGATTTGGCAATGCTGATCGATAAGGCAAGTAAAATCTTTCTCGAGGTGCGCGTAGGGATCTGTAGGGAAATGTGTTCAAATAAAGACAATTGTGTAAGTGTCAATATCAACTGAAGTATTGGGTACGTGAGTTAAAATAATAAAAATAGCATTTTAAAGTTCCAATAATTGCATTTCTCAGTCTGTATGTATTTACTGTGATTAAATCACATTATTGTCCTATCGCTAGACATAATGATAAAAATGTTTCGTTCTGTAAGTCAAACGTTAACAATTTAAGGTAAAATATTATGCTGAAATGGTCACCTGTTTACGAATGGTGACGTCGATATTGAAATACTCACGGTTAAAGATTCATCTGTAGAAACATGTGTTAACAGGGTCTCCCGAGGTCAAGGGTTGGTTGTACACGTACGCACGTCGCCTATGTTGACGTTTCACTGGCGTACATACAGAGTACAACGGAAACATCTACAGTCCCAGCGACTCCTGTGTGGATGAATCACAAAGGTTATAATGTCTCACAACAGCCTGATTATAAAATACAGGGATCCTGACATGCCAAATAGGTCTATTAAAATTGATCGACGTTGAAATCTGTAGTAACGGTACTGTTTCCAATTTGTTCAAAGAGTTAGAGATTTTAATGCGCTGAGTGGAGCATTTATAACATCCAGTGAAAACACATCACAATTCATAATGCCCGTTTCCGTCACAAGAAAATCGATATTGTAATGTTGACGATTAGCTGTGAGGGAATTAGTCATTCAAATGTCCTTCACAACATCCTTTCCTCGGTGTCCACTATGGGCGTTAACCAGTAAATGTCGCTCCTCGTTGTCCTATTCGCCTATATAACACCCAAAATGACTTGGAATTGTCTAAGGAACAGGATATGTCTTCGCATGGATTTATGCGTTGGCATAGTTCCCTGTGTAATCATCTAGGAAAACAGGGATAGTCTACCAAATCGTTAGACTTAATCAAGAAATGCTGTGGGGTTAATTAAGCGTTATCGCCAAGGCTTCAGGTGTTAAGTACGTCAATATTACGATGTGCAGGGAGACGGCAGATGCTGACATATGACATGTGGTCTTGTCAATTAAAATTGGAAAGAAATAGGTTTCTTCCCATGATATTATTTCATACGTATGTGAGTCAGTGAGGTGGGCATATGTTTGTGACGGGTGCCACCAGTGGGGCAGGATACGCTCACCTTTTCGCGAACACCTGGTATCATTACTATTTCATAGTGATTCATAAACACATGCTCATGATATAGTCGGAATCGTACAGTCGACTTTGCTCTATGCAAAGATTTCTTTTGGATATGGAAAGGGTTTTGTCGCTTTATTTAAACATGTATTGAAGTTATAATGTCAACTTTTCGTGAGAGGAAAGCTCAGGGCGATGCAGGCCTCCTAGGTTTATAACTTTCGTGACAACCGCGAACACAAGTGCATGTGGTGCCTATAAACCTGGAAACATAATGTGGGCGAACCGGGATTTGAACCCACGATCATAGGGTTCATCTTTAACGAATGTAGATACCGGCGTTTTCAAGGTGATCACGTGATTTGATGCACTTTGCGATGTAAGACCCATTTCGTCACAAAATAGATCTTCATTTTCCAACAGATTGTCTTGACTGGGCGCCGCCATTTTGTTTGAAGCAAATGCAAGTCATATAAGAGGTGGAACCTGATTGGCCAATAGGAGAGGCATAGAAGGGAAACAACTCGTAATAACCACTGGTGGCACTACGACCGAGCCCAGAAATTCCAGTCTAGTTCGGCAAGGGTGGAAACTGGACTTTTGTAGTCAGTTAACTCCCTTGCCTCCGGAAGATGACGTGGGAAGAAGACAATTCAAACACTGAGTAAATCGTGCAGGTCTTTTACTGTGAAAAGCACACCGTAAACGTTAGGCCACGCCAATTTGAAAATAGACGGTTGAGTGCAAATGGAATGCTTGAAATCGGTATTGCAAAACGGTTTTCCGAGGTGTTTTTGTGTTCATAGTAACACCATTCATTAACATCCGGCAAAACCGGGGACCGGTCGTTATCACGACCATGAATAACGTCACGTCGGTAAGAAAATCATATCCGTCTGGTCCACCTGCGACATCGGTTTCAGATTGCGACTTTGACAGCCCGCATCCCTGCCGTACGATTAGTGCAAGGCCTGTGAGGCGTCGAGAGCAAAACATCCGACCACGACGTCCAGCTGAACGTCAAACTTTACTGCCAAGGCATTCAATTGGTAATCTATTTTATTATCCTCTGTGAGGAATTTACTATGACAGAAGATGTCATATTTCGTGGAATAGTGTATACGCTTAAATGAACTGACACGTATTTCCTCATTTGTAGTTTTAGGCGTGTGTTATTGTAGATATTAGAACTTTATTGCAAACCTGACACTCATTTAGTTTCTTTTCGTCGAGCCTCTTTTTCTATTATAAACTTGACCATCCTCATTAGATAGAATACATTATCCTTGTAACATTAAAGGGGATAAAATTGCTAAGTCAAAAAGAATATACATGTAGGTGGAGAGTGAGTGAGTGAGTATGGTTTTACGCCGCTTTTAGCAATATTCCAGCAATATCACGGCAGGGACACCAGAAATGGGCTTCACACATTGTACCCATGTCGGGAATCGAACCCGGGTCTTCGGCGTGACGAGCAAACGCCTTAACCACTAGGCTACCCGACCGCCCCTGTAGGTGGAAGAACTTGAAGAATAAGCGGAATGGTAATCGAACATGATACACCATTAGCTAAATTTCATTAAGTTCATTGTATGTGGTGAACTGGAATTTACTGCAACAATTTATTTATTCTTTTATTATATGCTTGCTGTTATAAAGCAAACACATTGGATATTGAAAAATAAAATATGTAGGTGAAAACATTTTTATTTGGTATTGTTATTTCATGTTATCCTCTCTGAGGTATTAGTGTTGCATAAGAGGTAAATATGTATTTGAAGTGTGTACAGAACTACACACATAATTTCTTTCGAACACATTGTAAAAGAAAACAGCTATTTAACTTTTATGTGTGCTAACAAGTGGTGCTTTTAAATAGTTGAGGTATTTAAGTCCTAACAACCTCAACCTCAACATTCAAGAGCATTCAAGATGCTGCTTCCATTGCCAAGAAAATCCAGATACAATGAACATGTATAGATATATTAGAGAAGGGTTAAGTTCAAATATTTTATACTTTATATCATACATAACGCTAACAGTTTGATTCAATGATTAAATTTTGATAATTAAATTTGAGAGGATTCACAGGATATGCAGTGTTATGTTTGAAGGAAACTTTAATCCAACAAACAATAAGTAAAATCAGTTGTGCTTGCCTTGCCTTGCCTGTTTTACGAACATCCTTAGTGTGTATGTATGGTGCCCTAAACGACGTCGAGATCAACGCTTGGTTTTCGCCAAACACCAGTACAATATAATTATATATTTTTATAGTGTATGGTATTTCCTCTTCATCCATTATCGCCAACGTGAAAGCAAAATGGGAGGGGAAAACGAACAACGCCTAGGAGTGAGTAAGTGAGTGAGTTGAGGTTTACGCTGCTTAGACCAATATTTCAGTTATAATTCGAGTTGTAAGATTAGTGTGGGGGAAAAGTCTCAAGTATAGCACATCTTTGTCACTTTGGTAAAACCTACGAGCACTGGTTGTTCAATTATAGGAAAGTGTTGCTGCTACCAATCTGTAGGTCATATAATCACATGTGACTCCTCTGTTGTTGACAATAACAACCTTAGTCAGTTATGCAAATTTGGACCAAAATATCGTCAGCAGCCTCCTACCAATTGGGATCACAACTTTAAGATCTTAATGGATATTGTCGAAGTATATGCCAATGAATTGGCCAAAAGAACAGAGGAACCTGTTGAATGATGTTTCAGAGTGATCTAAGTCAGTGCGTGATGTTGTCATTGGTAGAATGCACAAACTGAAAAACATTCAGCTGTCATCCAAAGTCAGGGTGCCCTACATGAAACGTTTGTAGCTGCCCCCACTGACAAGGCGTCAAATAACATAACCATTATATGTAAGCATCACTACATTGATTGTTTGATCTTGGTATAAGTGCCATATCAAATAATGCCAAATATAAGGCCAGTTAACTGAGGAAGAACTATCAACTTTTATCTTGACTCTAAAACCTGAAGACATGTCCATTTCTCTTTTGTACTGGATTCCAAATCTAAAAGAATCCGTGCAAAGAGAGATATATTGCTGGGTCCAGCAAATTTAAATGTACCACCCAATCCCAGTCTTAACGTTTAACCATAAGTCTTAATACAATCAAGGAATGACTTTATATTCACAGAACATATTTGAGAAAAGTTGAATTAATATCATGTTGATTCTCAAAAACTCAAAGGATTTGCTTGACTTTTTACAATCTCCGAAACGAACCAGGTTCAATTCTACACACAAAAAATTGACTTTTCAACTTTGTACACCACTTTTTCACATGACGAACTTAAGGGAAAATGTAAATTCGTTGATCCATGGGGCCTTTGTTACAAAACGTGGTGACCATAGGTAGAGTTACATATCTATCTTCTGAAGTTCAGGTCAATTTGTCCAAAGTGAAAGCAAATGCCATCTGAAGTTTACTGGGAAAACAATATGTGAATGCTGGACTTACTCATTGATGACATCTATATAAAATTTGAGGGTAAGTAGTCATCCCCCATGGGCATTAATTGTGCTTTGCTTTTTGCTGATCTGGTTATTTATGCACACAACTCGGAATTTCTGTCTAACTTGAGTGTGAGTGAGTGAGTTGGGTTTAACGCCGCTTTTAACAGTATTCCAGTTACATCACGGCGTGTCAGCTTAATGTGGGAGGAAAGCCCCAAGTGATGCAGGTCTCAGACGTTTACCTCTTCGGTGAAACCCACGAGCTAGGGTATGGTGCTGACAAACCTAGAAACATAATCGGGGCGAACCGGGATTCGAACCCACAATCATAGGTTTCTGGCGTGCCCAAGGGACGCAGCTCTGCACAGAGAATCGCGGCGCTTTAGACGACTGGGCCACCCGTGACCCCCTGTCTTACTTGAGCTTCAGGTATATCGATGATCTGATATCGTTCAATAACCATGAAAGATTCCCTGAATCTGATATTCAAACTCACTGTTATAAGACCCTGACACATTTAAGGGACGCAACCCTGCACAGCGAATGCCCTAACAAATTTAGGAATAACTACATTCCAACACATTGGTTGAAGCTTCATTCATAGTACAAACGAGATTGTTGCATTGTTGCTTGGAAATAATATATTAATAATGTTTCACCATATCATTAGTGATGATGAAATTACAGTTTCATTATTGTTTATTATGATGATAATATAATTTTCCTATGCAGAAGATTTATAGTTCTAGTTATAAAAGCAAAACTGGGAAAAATCGTGTTTTTATAGTTTATTATAGATACTGCTGTAAACTCCGCTGCAATTCAGCATCAATATCCTTTTCGCATGTACGTTCCAAACGGCAATTATCACCCGGAGAGCTGCGCTTCCGTACTAACTACATATTTTATAGTCACAACCTCATACATTACTTCATTCTCTATCAACCCTTATTGTTCCGACAAAAGTATCTTACCTTTGCGATGTCTTGAAATGGAAAATTGATTGTGCATTTCATGTGAGTTACAGGTCCGAATGCAAGGAAGAATGTCAACACATTGTTTCTACTCTCTTCCAAACAGTGTCTCTTAACCGTGTATCCACTGAACATTACCCATAGATCGATGTCAGCCAAGACATGATCATCAGCGATCACAGCGAAATATAGAACTCCTCTACACGTTTAATCCAAATTAGTGTTCACGAAACAGGGACTGGCGACTTCCCAGTATCATGACCAATGCGAAAATAGGCACATTCATTAACTAGCATCATGTCAACGATTCATACGTCACGCATTCCGCGCCTTCACGGGTATTGATCAGACATCGGCTATAGCCAGAGGACTTAAAAGTCTAGTGAACAAACGTCATATAACTAGCCTTTGGACTTGCTTTGCGTTTAACTCGGGAATGGATTTGTGTAGAACTCATTCTTTCATTCTGGTCCTTGTGGTAGAGCTGTTTCATTGAAATGTTTACTGAATGAAAATATGCATATTTTCTCCAAAACAGTTATTGTGTAACAAAACAGCGAATAGGACTTTTCCCAGGAATCGCTGCCTGGTCAAATCCACCTAGAACGTTTCGTAGAATGTGATTGATGATTTGCCTAACCAGCCTGACTGTGCCAGGATCCTCTTTGCTGCAGTTTTTTTAAATTTTAATCTGTAAATAAAAACATTAATAATTCTTTAGGTGTTGTTGATTGGACGAAACAAGAAATTTAGGGTATTGACACCCTCAAACGAAAAAGCTTGTCAGACAACAGATCCCACCACCCTTGCTCTTCCCTCTATCGCGTATATTTACCAATCATAATGGGAGAGTGGTTTGATTAACGTGGGGGCTCTGCATGATAGAATTGTTAATCTTAATGTCAATTGTTCTCGGTGCCTTAGGTTTGAAACCTCCAGATCTGTTGAGTGACATTGGGAGAGTACCGGTTTAGCTACCAGGAATACAGCCCTACTGACAATCTGGGTAATGCAGAAGGCTGCAGTGTTGGGGAGTCGTCACATTCTACGAAAAGTTCTGGGTGGGATTGACTAGGCAGCGTTTCCTTGGAGAAGTCCCATTCGCTGTCTGGGCTGCGTGTAGAGGGGGCAAGGGCCCTGAGCTGATGATGAGCCTAACCAGCCTGAGTGTGCCGAGATCACCCTAACCCTCTTTGTCGCATTTTTTAAATTTCAATCTGTACATCATCATCATCATCATCGTCATCATAATAATAATAATTATAATAATCGTCATCATCATCATCATCATCATCATCATCATCATTATCATCATCCACTAGTCATGCGCTAGTATACTAGTTGACAGACACAGCTTCAGCATGGCCTTCATGTGACCCCAAGCCTATAATATTTGATATAAATCCTGAACAATGTAACATGCTCCCCATGGGATTTAAATTATTAAACACATGTTTACGAAAGTGAGGTATTATCCCATTACCTTAATGCATAGAACAACCGTCAGCTCCTGAGCGAACGGGAAAGGTTCGATTCAATTAGTTAGTGCAATTCAAAGTGCATTGTTGCAGCCCCCTGTGGGTGTTTATATTCGTGCACATATAATACGTTGTTTAGATGAGTAACTGTACAACAACATTGGGAATGGCTGATGAAAAACCTTTTTGCTTCGTTGTCAGCTGCGAATGGTTGCAAGATTGATGATGCTGAGTAAAGGGCACCGCGGATATATGTACAGAGAGTAAGTAAATTAAAGCCACTTTGAACAATATTTCGGCCTGTCTGCTTGTTATGAGAGGAAATCCTGTAGTGATGCAGGTCTTAGACGTTTACCGCTTTCATAAAATCCATAAGCATACTTACAAACTTAGAAACAGTTTGACTAAGGATTCGAACCCACGATTATAGGTTTATGGCACGTCTAACTCTTCACCGCGAATCATGTCATCGTATCCAAATTATGTGGATCGATGCTCATGATGTCAATCACTGGCTTGTCTGGTCCAGACTTGATTATTTACAGACCCTCGTCTAGAGCTGGAATATTGCTGCGGCGTTAAACAACAAACAAACAAACACTCACTCACGCATATGTATAATTATGAATACAGTTTGGGTGCACATGGAGGAATATCAGATTCAAAGGTTAACAAAGGTGAACATGTGTCATTTTCCTATACCATGTTGATTAGAGGATCCTGATACTTATTAAGAGACAAATGTATGTCCTTATGTTATTTAGAAAATATCGCATGTGGAGCTTGTAAAGGAAATATTTAGTCAACATATATTGGCAGATATGAACATAGATTTGCCATTATTGTGCCGAAATCTCATGGACAAAGTAGCTACTTACTCAGAGTCAAGTAGGATTTCTCGTTAAGTGAACAAGTGGCCAAGTAGGAACTAGAGCGGAAAATCAAAATACAATTCGGAAATAACAGTGTTTTGTTGAACGTTTCTCCACGCGTAACATGTTTATTTATTTACATGTATATCAAACAAAAGCATCGTGTCATGCCTTATACATACATGCAGACTTGTATATCCAGAAATTCTCTCAAACTAATGACCGTAAATATTTTAGAAGGAACTTGAAGTGCTATTATTACTTGAGTTGCGAAAAGATGTTAATGTTTGCACGGATTGACTGATGGCAGAGCCAATCTTGTTAATTTCATAACTTTTATCCCCCAACCACACTTTTGACCGTGTTCACACGTATGCAGGTTTCTCCTGAACCAAACGGCGTAAAGTAAATACAAAAGAACACAACTACACACTGTTCTATATGCAAATGTCATGACGCTCAGAAACGACACAACGCCATATCCACAACACTGTGATAAAACGGTTTTATTATTTTGCATTCAGGACTTCCCGATATTCCTTTTCGAGACACCTCATCAGATATGCTGGTCTGAATCGGTCCCTCGGCTGATTGTTTGATTAGAACGTTCACCCGTGGTATATTACCTGAGTACCAGATCTAATTTTGACGAAATTATATACATCTCATTTAATCCTCAAACACCTCATTGACTTCCTTGTGCACTACCATAAGCGTCGTGATTGAACGAATAATATATGGAGTTAATGCAAATTTAGCAGGTTCAATTATTCACGAATTCTCATTTGCTCCCCTAAAATACTCACATGTTGGCATGTTTTATTCAACTCATTGGACTTGAAAGTAACACTCTGACTGTGAACACTTCAAGTATTTTTATCGTATCGGTTTACATAATATATTTTAGTTTACTTCATACACGTGAAGTATATCAAGTTTCTTATGCAGGTGTCTTTTGTCCAGTAAACTTGTATCGTTAAGGTTGTTATACAGGATTTCGAAAAATAAAGTCCACAGATGATCTTGATAGGGGTAGTTTTAAAATGCAAACCTTTCAAATACAAATGCTACTTTCGTTTTGATTGTGATCAGTAGTATTGGAGACAATACAATACCCTTTCTTACATACATATAATATAATAGTGTATAGAAATTACAAAGGCAATTTCACATGAACCATGAAATGATAATGGAAACAAAAATACAAAACATTTAAACCATATAATACATTGTCGATGCATTGGAATGTGATGGTGGACAATGTTATAATTAGAAACATTTCCATAATCGTTAGAATTCTCTACAAAAAGCAGATTCCGACTATATCGTAAGCATGTGTTTATGTATAACTAATAAATAGTGACGATACCAGGTGTTCGTGAAAAGGTGAGAATATACTGCCCCATCGGTGGCACCGGTAACAAAGAAACTGGTGTTTTAGAAGTACCTGAATAAGTAAACTCGCCTATCTAATTAGATGCAATTGTATTTTCTAATGAAGTTTACTGGTAGGTGACAGGAGCTTTAAATCATTTTGAATTTGCGATGTTCCTATTCGTTACGTGTATATCACCCTTTAAAGTGTATGATACATGTTTGATAGGGCTATGTTTGGTTTTCAGGATTACATAATTATCATTTGATTTTCATTAATTCTTGCATGTTTTAGGCTTACATTGTGGATAATAATTAAAGAGTAGAGTGAGGCTAAAATGTATCTATCCTCTTTTGTAGAGGTTTTCGGGAAGCGTTTTCCTGATATTTTCCTGCATATGCAAATACTTGACATAAGATTTATACTTCAGTTAGTTAGTGTTAGCCACCAAGAGAACAAAAAGAAATTGGAATTATCAAGGTTTGTTAACTGCGTTTGAGAATCGTTTGAAGGGGGCATATGGGTGACTATGTCGCCTCAGGCGCCGAAAGTCGCTGTGAAGCGTTGCGTCCCTTGGGCAAGCTATAGTTGTAGGTTCGATTCCCGGAACGCCCCGATTAGGTTTCCAGATTTGTAAGCACCATGCCCGTGCTCGTGGGTGTCTCCAAAGTGTTAAATGCCTGACACCTGCATCACTTCGAGCTTCCCTCCCATCTTAAACTGCCACGTCTTGATATGTCAAGAACACTGTTTAAATCGGCGTTAATCACTCACTCCGTATAATAATTTAAGACCATGTAGGTGATACTTATTTCATGATTTCATAGAGATAATTCACCCCAGTAAAAATAAGTAGTTCCACGGACATGGATGTTCTGTGATAATTCTAATCCTGTTATTGCTAGGTTCATATCAAAGGGAATGACTGTCATTCTATTCTAGGGATATAGGTGTCACAGCACACAATTAGCCACCTTGTGGCACGAACCCTCATTACAATAACACAAAGCCCAGTACTTCACAGTTAGCATGTATAGGTGATATCCCTTGTTTCAAAATGGACGAGTAGAAGCAGAACTGCGCTAAATCGATTCTTGAATATTTCTAAAACCTTTGGCCCAACCAGAAACAGACGCCACTAAATTAGAAAAAAGACCACACGTTCCTGAATCTGTAAGTTGAAACAAAGGAACTGATGATTTAGACTTAAGCATACAGTGAATATCAAATAACGGCACAGTATTCTAACGGGGATGGAATCTGCCAACTTTTAGCTTGACACTAAAGTTTGATAACTTTTTCTCTTCTTTTTTTGCTGGATTACAAAACTCCATTGTTTTCATTTTTGCTGCCTAAGAAAAGTACCAAGTTGATAAACATATGCTGATGATCACTGGTCGAAATCGAAAATTGGACTCTTGATTTCTCATGATTATGGAAAGGATTTTGTTGTTTATGTGTATGTAGATTCTCATCAAGCTTGGACTTTATTCATTCTCATATATTATTATAGAAATACCATGCGTATAAGAAATAATTAATCATTGTCACATATTTCCTTTCAGAAAAGAAGATTGGTTTTGTATGATTGACTAGTAGGTATCACATCAATGCCAAGTGTACACATGCACTAAACTAAAACACATTTTGATTTTATTGAAAGAGAGCCTTTCCTTCATTTTAAAAATTTAATGTATTATGTGGAGCGTTTCGCTGTCTGGCTATGGACAGTTAGACGTTGTTTTACAGGCGCCGATGTAGTCGTTTTGATCCTGTGGTGTGGTGTACATGTGCTCGTTAACGATAACAACGACATGACGCAAGTCAAACTCGTTTGAGGCTTCATCAGTTCTTATCATTGCTGTCACTGCACGAATTCGTTGTAATATTGTATATTTATTCCGGCTATGTGCCAATATGGCCTATAGTGAATCGTGTACGCAACACGTATTTACAACAACAGCAAAACCTGTACAATGAATATTTGGACAACTTCATTTACATGGACAATAATTACAATTATCAATGTTGTAATAGTGACTTTTACAAAGCCTTACTTAAAGCATTGTTGCTCCTGAACGTTAAAATGTGGGTCAAAATAACTGATGATTTAAATAACAATGTTAACATCGGTTTGTAGGAGCGTACAGAAATGTGCTTCAACTTGGTCGTATCACATAATACTTTGGCAAATACTTATTCCGTTCTTCTAGATATTATGGACATTCGAGTAGCACAAGCTATCGTTTTTTATGTTGCAGTATAAACTACTTTTAGGCAATCCCATAAACATGATTATCATACCTCCATGTCAGAATGATGAGATCTGATTGGTCCACGTGATCTTGATAAAATACTGTGTAACCCACCTTGGAGGGTAATAAATTTCTCAGCGGGGGGGGGGGGGGGGGGGGTAATTCTCTTATACCAAGCCACGAGCGATACAGGCTGAATGTGAATTTCTCAGAGGCAGAATAAATCCTTTATACCCCGCTTCAAAGCAAAAAGCCGCAAGCTTTTTACGAGTCAATTGAAGTCAGGTGACATAGCACAAGTTAACCTCAGATCATTCGAACGAGCTGTTTTCCGGCCCGAGGAATACATCCTAACGCGGGACGCATAAACACCCCTGTACCCTTCGTGATCCTGCTACAACTTATATTGTATTTCTGCTTCTGCTGTTTTTGAAAATCTTACTGCTTTGGTACTGAATTTATTGCATCTAAATTGTCTCAGATAGCTACGAAATTTCATAGATTTCATTGCCGTGAGAGAACGTTCTAGTAAAATTCGGAAAACTAATACATACAGTTGGGTTGATTTATTTCACGATATTGTTGTTGGTGTGTGCCCTTATAAAAGTTTGAATACCTTCAAGAATATATCACTTGGTCGACTTGTACAAACCAGACTTGATTAAAACGACACTTAAATAACAAAGGTGCATAGCAAAAACCCAAGCCTTATCACCTGATTCGTCGATTGTTTCAATAATTCATGACTATGTTCGAAATATCTCGAAGAAAGGTTAAGTGAGGTGAAATTGGGTTTAACGTCGCGTCCAAGATTATTGCACTTATATAACGACGTACATGCACGTGTGTGTGTGTGGCTGCTTGTACTAGTACGGACTACTGTCGATTTAATAGGGCTAGCTCAGTGAGATAACATGCCTCTGTATAATATAAATACCCTACTCACCTGGGCGGACGCTCTACCACGAAAGCAGAAAATACAACGGGCAAAACTTCTTTATTATTTTCCTCTGCTATTACTAGCGAGCATTTCCATAACAAGTTGTCCTATATACAATAGAAACCAAACTGTTGACAGGATAAAATATCCGTTATATGGAAACGGTTATAGCTTACAGAAGTGTTCAGTTTAGAGAACATATGTTGGGAAAGATGGTGCATCTTACCATGATTTCCTTTCTCTAAGAGCACACAAAAAATGCTAATTCTGTTAACAGAATCAAACGCCCTTTTTATATCAACGAATAGGCGGTACAAAATGTGTCTCTTTTCCCTAGGGTATTTACATATATGAGGGTATGGGATGCAAATGTTTGATCAACAGTAGAATAATTTGCTCTGAATCCTGCTTGGCGTATATGGCATTCAACTTTTCGATGATTTCATACGATTGCCCATACTGATAGTAAATGCATTTTTCAATGTGTTTAGTAATAAATAGTATTCCCCTATAGTTATTAGGATCATTAATGTCTGCATGTGAATTTTAAAGATAATAACCACGGCATGACGCAAGTCAAACTCGTTCACCACTTCATCAATTGATATCAGGACCGCTTCCGTGGTCTTGTGGTAGAGCGTCCGGCTGGAGAGCGGAAGTTCCGGGGTTCGATCCCCGGCCGCGTCATACATAAAGACGTTAAAAGATTGTACTTGTTGTTACCCTGTCTGGCGCTCGGCATTAAGGGGCTAAAAGAAGGACTGGTCGGCTCGGAGTCAGTATACTGTGTCTGAGTTGGGTATTCATGTTAAACTGCGGCATGGTATCTCAGTGAGCTAGCACTATAAATCGGTCTCAGTCCGGACTAGCACAAGCAGCCACACACACACATACACGTGCATGCACGTCGCTATACAAGTGCAATACTCTTGAACGCAGCATAAAACCCAATTTCACCTCACCCCACCAATTGATATCAGTGGTGTCATTGCTAGAATTCGATTTTTGGAAACGTCAATGCATTACATGGAGGTGTGTTCATATTCGTATACATCCTTATATTCGTATATAAACTAGAATATAAACCCTATTCTTGAGTTAAGGTCAAAGTCGCCATACACATGACTGACAACATTGTCTATTCCATTCAATGAGATAGTGTGTGACAGTTTTCTAAATTATCTTAAATCTCTTTATATCCTTGCAGTTTACGTCCCATATGAGGTCACATAGTCAGACCAAAGACCTGTTTCAAGATAAGCAGATTAGTAAAGTAAAGAGCCTCTATTAAACACTATTGCACAAACAGCTTAAGCAGCAATGGAAGCTAGGTTGTCTTCATTGATCGTACTTGTTGGCATGTATGTCCTCCTTTACAGGTAATAATGCATACTGAGTGAGTGAGTTGGGTTTAACATTACTGCAGTTATATCAAGGCGTACACTGAAGATTGACGTTGAAGGTATTGGTACATACTTTACAGTACTAGCTCTCTCATGAATAGTATGACATGGCCTTAAGCAAGTTCATATACTGATACATATCTTATTATTAACCGGGGCGGTCGGGTAGCCTAATGGTTAAAGCGTTCGCTCGACACGCCGAAGACCCGGGTTCGATTCCCAACATTGGTACAATGTGTGAAGCCCATTTCCGGTGTCCCCCGCCTTGATATTGCTGGAATATTGCTAAAAGCGGCGTAAAACCATACTCACTCACTCACTATTATTAACGTACACTTATAGTCAGAGAATTCTTATTATAGAAGTCAGATGCAAATGATTAAATGAGTGACTGATTCGGTTGGGGTTATCGTCGTTTTGAACAGAATTTCTGTCATATCACATTATTTAATGTGCACTAAATGATCATAACTTTCAAAGACCAAGTAATGTCAACACATTGCTAAAGTAGCTATATTGAAAAGCATACAAACTGTGACTGTTTGTTTCAGAGGCTACTGCACAATGTCAGTAAAGGAATCATTAACGAGCTTTATGGGTGGAACCATTCTCAGTTACTTTGTTGACGTTAATAAATGTCATCAATACTTGGATCCCAGCGTAAACGTGACGTCTTTCTATGGGAGAGAAACAGGAGCATATATTGTGTATTTCAACCATAAAAGATGGTATTTTTATCTGCCGACTGAGAATTACGTTGATGGGAAGCAATTTAATCTGTCAGGTAAGGTTTACTTTTTAAAACATTCTTAAAACAGTTAACCATTCAAAACTGGGTTACACAGGTGATCTCCCTTGGTTGAGATCAAGTGATATCTCCTAGGAGTATATATAATTTCTTGAATAAAAAAAATTGTTTCTGTTAGTATTTTGGATTGCTTATGACATTATAATTTCGAGAGGCTGTGTTCATGTTTATGAAAAATAAGTAGTTATATACCAGGCCGAATATCTGGAAAGTATGTATTTATACTAGTTTACCTTATCCATTCATATATTTTCATTACTACTTTACCTGCTAACCCACATGGAATCTGTTTCGACAGAGACTGGTTATTCTTTGACGTTGACGTTTTGAATTTACAAGTATGACAATGTTATTATATGAAGCATAATCGTCACTGGCTGTCAGAAAGAGATATGGCTATTAAGGGATAAAAACCGGGGAGGGAAATCAGTTTGGTACCAAGCGTTCACGTGAACATCATCATAACAGCCCTTGCCTTGCGATCAATGTTCGGCAATCAGTCAGGTTCGCGAAATACCCATGTACGGAGCGGCTGATTTGACATCCAGACACGAGGTGTATGCAAGCCCGTTAAGTATTACTGATGAAGAAAGATGGTATACAAACCTTATCCAATAGGAACATGTCCCCTCAATACATTATATATATAGAAAAGGTATGATAACGATTATTTTCCACTTTCTCGAACTCATTATTAGAACAATAATTTTAATGGAAATTAGTTATGGATTGAAAAAAACCTGTTTCTCGACGCAACCGAACGTTTTGAACAAGCCTTTTTTTCTTAAAGCACCTGTCATTCGATTAATGGGAACTTTCATAACTCCATCTGGCAAGATCACGGTCAATGTGAATGACATCAACTCTGATGGCTCTATACTAACAACTGGTTATCTAGAATGTCCTGGAAATGACGAAAAACCGTATGTATTTTTCTTCAGATAATTGTCCCTTTTGTTAAATGCACCGAACGTATTGATAACTTTAAAATATCATTTTATTGATAAGTCATATACTAATTATTATTTATATTTCTGCTTGAATGGTTTGTTACGAAACACTTTGGAAAAGTATGCTTACGTTGAGCAGGAATTCGATCAGGATTTCAAAAGAAGGATAACAAATATGCGAAGTACCTGCAATACTTGATCACTTTGCACACACAACACGGGAAAGGCAGCATTATTTGTAGACACAGTTACTATCATTCATCACAATAGACGGTACCTCGCGTTCGGAAATACGTGATAAAGCAACACATCAGTAACGCCGCGCCTCGCATAGTTTTTCCCATGAGTTGGCGAGTTGATGTTGCACTCCAGTGTCATTCATCAAATATCACAGACCTTAACCAACCCAATCCAGTCGCCTTCTACGACCAGAAACGGGTGACCTATTTCCTCTCGAGGTCCCATAGGAGTTAAAGCGTAGAGAATAACAAACCTCTTTGTAGATAACTATTAAAACACTGGCTATCACTCAGCCATCTTTAATGTAGGCGTGTGTCTTTGTGTAACTACGGAAATTAAAACAAAGAAAACCATTCGTCATGACAGATTAATGTGGGCTTGTCAGAAATACTTCAGAAATGATCGCGTCTCTTCCAATACATATGACAGATACAGACTCATTTGGATGTGTACAAAATCTCTACATGTGCAAAGGCGTCAATTATTTTGATATTTCGTTAATATTCGATCCAAAAGAGAACTTTCTCTGTTAGGCCAGTATAGTTTCTTACAATGTGCAAACAATGTGATTCATCACTGATTTTATGACTGATGACGTATGCCAAACGGAATAAGGATCTATACCGAAACGTCGCCTTTACAGTAATTAAAGAAGTTGTTATCCATAAATTGTGTCTACTTTGATTAAAATGTGTTCCCTTTTAATGAACACATATACTTTAAGTCTGAGATTCAATGCTAAGCACGTATCATTGTCTTCAGTGGAATCGAAATACTTGCGGATCACAGGAATAAAACATCGTTGGACACGGTGTCATCAGTTAAGACAGTCTTAAACTCAGCACTTGAACTGTCATTTGCTGTCAACTTCAGCGACTGCACACCACCAGAACACATGGAGGCATATATGATTCTTGGGGGAGTCATCAAAGGTATACAATTATGTTTTTGTTGTTGATTTACCTGTACCCGATTCCTGAACATCTTTACAGTCATATATTCCATCCATAAGTGTAATTGATGATTATCCACCTTTTTGGGAAAGTTGAACGCCCAAGAGGGAACAAATAATTCGCATATGTAAGTTTTTATGAGAAGTTATCATTATTACTCAACATAAAAGAACAGGTATATATTTTCACGATTCTCGTTCAGATAAACCACAATTAGAGAAAGTCTGACATTAGGCACACAATGGCGTCAACTTTGTGATGTCACATTGGTTAAATAGACGTTTCGTTAGCTACTGAACCAATTTCTACAAAACTCGAATGCGAGCAAAATCACTTCCAGCTACGGTAACATTGGTGCCTATAGTGACTTGAGTTACATTTTTTTCTGTTTTAGATATCCAAGAAGATGGTCTTGGTGGTTATACATTCACTCAAATGACACTTGCCCCAGGATCGAGTTTATTGATTGCTGTCAGAATACTAAGCACAGGGGAGGTGATAGTTGGTCCAGTGGATGATACGGACGGTGGGGCTGGCGGCAAGCCCTACCCCAGGCACTGTATTCTTGGAAAGACCTTCAAATTATACGCTCAATGAACCGTTGTTTTGAAAGAAAGTGGCGAACGTTTGTCATTTCTTATGAAGATGATCATTGTGTTTCATAAGCGAACATTTATATCAAACAAACAAACAAACAAACAATACAAGCTCTATAATTCATGTTGATTGCAGGTGTAAAAGGAAATTAAAAATTCTTTACAGATTATTCTGAAGGCACTTACCAGCCACATGGCGTATCAGTGTATCGCCAGTGAGTTATGTTTAACTTCGTGATATGTAATCACAATGATGACACGATATGGTCATGGGCGGTCATATCCTCACACATTTAGGTTCACATGTCATTCTAAATATCAAAACCGCCTCCGTGGTCGTTGGTAGAGCGGAAGGTCCGGGGTTCTATCCCAGGCCGAGTCATACCAAAAGACCTTTAAAGATGGTACTTGTTGTGTCCCTGTCTGGCGCTCGGCAGTAAGGTGCAAAAACAAGGACTGTCGGCTCGGAGTCAGTATACTGTGTCTGGATGGGGTATTCATGTTAAACTGCGATATGGTATCTTAGTGAGCTAGAACTATAAATCGGTGCAATATAAGTGCAATAATTCCTGGTGTTCCCCGCCGTGATATTGCTGGAATATTGCTAAAAGCGGCGTAAAACCATACTCACCCACTAACTCGAATTGTAGGTATGAAGTTCCACATTACGTACACTGTATGGGTTAGGGGGAATATGTAACTGGCATGTTTACAGAGAACCACGACTCCATCATGAGATGACCACGTGACAATTCAACTAACTGTAGTTGAGCCAGCAATCTTATAGATAATGTACATATTCCTCTTATCTCCTTATGGCGCCATGATAGACATTTACTTTATAGACTTTGACCCAAAGTTTGAATGCGCGCATTTTGTATCAATGCCAATGTCTCAAGAATAGTTTATCAAAACTGGAAAATACGAATTCCATGCCTCCTAACAATGATGCCCTCGGGTCTTTTCACATTACTGTCGGGTCCGACTTTATTATCCTGGTGTTCTACTTGAAAGGTTTGTATTACCTGCGTAAATTATTATCCTTGCATATACTCATTTATTCTGGCTTCACTGTTACAATGGTATTCAGATTGTTTAACGTTTCTTACACCCGTATTTTAAACATAGGATCATCCCAAGGTTTGTGCAGAGAGGATGTTGTTCAATGTACAGATAAGTAGATAAGTAACGCAACTATTTCGCAATCGACTTCAGCGTTACAGACAACTTCTTAGATAGCGATGGGTGTTTCTAAATCATTCTGGAGTGCATGTCTTGTTGTGAGCGTGTTTCTACCGCGGTAAGATGAATTATTAACGTTTTATGAAGTAATGGATTCGCAAAATATGTATTGTTTTATTTCTTAGACAGTCAAGTATCAGGTAAATGACATCTGTGTAACTAGGTCTCCAGTGTCGGGTCGCTTATATTAGTATCCGTGTTACATATTGGTAGATAAGTTTAAAAATGCAGCGTCAGATTCTTGAATTATGGCTCAACTTCAGCTATATCTATCTTCCTATCTTTGTTTATGGCATACTTCTGGAAACGCTCCCTCCATTTAATAAAGTACTTTCTTAATATTTTATTAAGTGTAGGGTTAATGATGTCCTGATATTATCAAAAGTTAAATGTGAACAAGTATATATACTCAACTCCAAAAGAAACGCACATCCTAAAGTATGGATGTCTCTACCTGAGATTATCCGTTGACAACCGACGCACTGTGTTTGCCGACACAGGTTTTTGGTAGGGTTCTAATTACCTGCATGGCAGTAGCTAACGCTAGTTGGTGGCGTTGGCGCAAGTGAAAACGGATCATAACCATGTCTTTCCGTTAAAATGTTACACGTGGACGTATGCTTCTTGAGCCCCCCTGCGCACTGTTTGTATGTGCATTACGTGCATTATAACGATACACTGTAGTGTGGTGAACGTGTAGATCTCTTGCCATTCATGTTGCCGTGTTTTAAAGCTTCAGTCATGATCAATACTCGATGACGATAGCTTGTGCCTAATCCGTGTCACTCAAAGAACTGTCGGATAGGTTTTTCAATTGCCTCGTTTCACTTTTATGGGTACACCTTCAACACCTCACAACCCATTTAAAATCCATAAAAAGTGTGCATCTTGCTCTTAGCGCGTCCTCAGAAAGAAACATTCTGGTCATTTTGTCATTTTGTTGATATGAATATTCTCTGTCCAGTGTTGGAATCTGGAAACGATGCATGGACATGTTATTCTTTCACTATGTCTCTTTTTGTGCAAATAGATCACTTGAATTGGATATCAATGAGATCGGAAGTTAAAACACGAAAAGGGCTTTTCTTTTGGAGTGAGTGATTGAGTGAGTTGGGTTTAGCGCGCATTTAACAGTATTCCAGTTATGTCACGGCGTGTCAGCTTAATATGGGAGGAAAGCCCGAAGTGATGCAGGTCTCAGACGTTTACCACTTCGGTGAAACCCACGGGCCCGGGTATGGTGCTGACAAACCTAGAAACATAATCGGGGCGAACCGGGATTCGAATTCATGAGCATAGGGTTCTGGCGTACCCAAGGGCCTTAGACGGCTGGGCCACCCGTGCACCCTTTTCTTTTGGAACATATATTTTTTATAATAGCAAATAGAACATCAACATCACTTGTTCGTCTTACTCGTATCATTTTGTTGAACATTGTATTTTTAAGCTTAATTCTTAATAAGAAAAGCAAAGTCACATAAGAGAACAATCGCTCGCTGTTTTAGATGTATTGCAATATTAATAACATCAGTTACCAAATATGATATTAACTGCATACCGACCTACCACTCAAAACTTACTTATGTACAGAAAGATTTCGAACATTTATTCAGATGAACTCATAGAGAATATATCGATGCAACGTGTTCATATACATGATAATGCAAGGCTAGCGACAGTAGAATCGACATAATCTCACATAAGCATTCACTGTTGGGTGATTTGAATGTGGATTTTGGAATTAAGATTAAAGTTCGTTAAACGCTAATCAAAACAATCCCACGGGTATTTGATAGAAATAGAAGTACCATAATACATGGGGCATAGGCGGAGTAGCCGTATATTGTACGCTTCTACAAAGTTCCTCCCCTTTGCTGTGCCGGGATCTGCAAATCGGCTTCTCGATTCCCAGGTTCGCCCACTTTCTTACGGCATTGAGGGGCGGTCGGGTAGCCTAGTGGTTAAAGCGTTCGCTCGTCACGCCGAAGACCCGGGTTCGAATCCCGACATGGGTACAATGTGTGAATCCCATTTCTGGTGTCCCCCGCCGTGATATTGCTGGAATATTGCTAAAAGCGGCGTAAAACCATACTCACTCACTCACTCTTACGGCATTGCAATGACACAATATATTGTTATAGTAGAAACTGCGTAAAACCATACTCACCCACTCACCACTCATCACAGTGCGTGATGGGCGAGGTATGATAAGGGCTCTATTTAGAAAAGTCAAAACTTTGAAATATTTGTGCGAAAGATATCAGACATGTTCAACAAACTCTCATATATTTGAACTTCTGACATGAAGAAATACATAAATATGGCTTATATATGTTACAGTCAATGTATATAATATTAGTCAATATACATATTGCCTGATTATAGACATTTCATAAAGCTTTTGTATTGACGTTTTCTTTTTGTATATTTGATTGAGTGATATTTGTCGAACTTCAAGAGAAAATCTATGCATGTGCTAGTACCGAAACCCAATATGAATCTTTTGCCGCATGTTGATACCGTTATCAATATCTCCCAAGAAAAACAGTTTATATCAAAGAAATATGCATGTTCAAATATTAGAACACGCTTCGCGAAAACCTTTAAAATCAGCCTTTTTAGCACGTTTAACCTTAACTATACATTACATGTAAGCGTTGTTATATATTTCATGCAGTGGTTGAATTTCTTTTTCTCATTCCTATGAAAACATTTGATAACATAAATACTTGTAAACTAAAGGTTTTCCGCATTTCTTAAATTATTCATATTCCGTGGGCGAAAGGGTCCTCATCACACCTGTACAACTGTTTTCATTCTTCATATGTCGTTGTGTTTGTTTCAGAGGCTACTGCACAATGTCAGTAAAGGAATCATTAACGAGCTTTATGGGTGGAACCATTCTCAGTTACTTTGTTGACGTTAGTAAATGTCATCAATACTTGGATCCCAGCGTAAACGTGACGTCATTCTATGGGAGAGAAACGGACGCCTATATAATCTATTTCAACCAAACAAGCTGGCATTTCTATCTATCAACTGAGAATTACATTGACGGGAAGCAATTTAATCTCTCAAGTAAGATATTTTTTCGCCAATTGCTACTTAATTTCGCTTTAACCATAAGAGGATAAGCAGGAACTGTAACTCCATTTGCATGCTTTATTGTCAAGGACGAGAAATAGGCACATATTACATACACAAAGGTATATTTCCTTCAAGAATAATAACTGACATGTTTAGTTTCTTAAAGTTATTAACTCAGCTTGCATTATATCTTCATTTTAAAGACCGAGAACGGTGGAATTTGCTTCAAGTTGTTGCTAATAGTTTATCAAAATGTAAGTGACAGGCGGACATGAGATTTGGAATCTACTGATAAGGGCGAGGGGACTATGATGGCTGGAATGACCTCTTTGTTTATACACAGTGGGAGCTGGCTGAAGTATATAAAATGCATATGCTTTAACTCTGTCACTAACAATATATGTTCCTCGTACCTCACCTCCTTTCTCTCGAAACAACAGCGTCCGTGGCCTAGTGCGTAGAGCGTCTGCCGGGAGAGCGGAAGGTCGGTGGGTCGATCCCCAGGCCGCGTCACACCCAAAGACGTTAGGGTGTGCTTGTTGTTATGAAGGGGCCTAAAACAAGGACTGGTCGGCTCGGAGTCGGTATATTGTGTCTGAAGGGGGTATCCATGTGAAAATGTGGCTTGATATCTCAGAGAGCTAGCACAATATAACCGCCTTAAGTCCGGACAAGTACAAGCAGCCACACACACGTGCTTACACGTCGCTTCATTAGTGCTATAATATGGAACGCGGCGTTAACCCCATTTCACCTAACCTCACCTTCAATGAAACCATTCGAACCTCCTAGAGTAGCAAACATGATGTTGTTAATAGCAGAACAGAGCATTGCCAATGACAAATTATGTTCATCTGGACTGACATTGATATCCAACTTCTGCACAGGAATTATCGATAGTCCTTTTATATTGAAGCACCCGTCATTCGATTGCTGGGAACCTATATTACTCCATCTGGAAATGTAACTGTCAATGTTATTGACCTTGGCCCTGATGGATCTCAACTCTCCAGCGGTTTTATGGAGTGTCCAGGCAACGAAGAAAAGCCGTGAATATAATCCCTTTCATTACACTAATTCAATAAAAGGATGTTCCTTCGCTTTTAATAGGCAAACTCAGCTTTAATAAATATAATCATACTTTTCACTTTTGTCATCGTCTTCCCATGCCTGACAACATTAACACATATCTATACATTATCATTGTTTGTGAGATTTCCAGTCAATTCAGCCTCGGCTTTTTACACAATTCGTGCTCACGCAGCAATTATCCCTGATCGTAAAGTTTTAATGATCAATCGAACTATCCCTGCATTGAATTGGCCGCTGGTAGATGGTAATACAACCATCACAACCTCTCGTAAATATTTTACAATTCGTCTTTCAATAAGAAAAGGTAACATTTTTATTCACCCCAGACTGTAACTAGAGTTACCAAGTATAGCTCCCTAACAAAATCCCTGAACCTACGAAGAAGGCGTGATACATGCATGACTAGTAAGACTTTACTTGGCAAATCAGCAGTAGTTTCGCAATAGTGTTTAGACCTAGCGTAATACTTTTGCAATACTTAAATTCTCCCCATTAGGCAACCCTCGTATGGATACATATGGTTGAAGGGTTGTCTCTTAAGACAAAGGAAGCATGCGTCATGAATCCATATCCAGACCTTTGTGTTTACATTCTCCAATACTCTTTCAAATCATTGATGATAATAACTCAGTTTACTCCATTTTTGACTAACATTCCGCTATTATTGCTCAAGTATGAAAGTCATGTATTATCTTTTCAGAGGTATTGAATTATTAGCAGGGCAGCGGAATAAAACCTCACTGGCAACGGTAGCATCAATTAAGACAGCTTTACACACCGGGGTTGAGCTGTCCTACTCAGCCAACTTCAGCGACTGCATGTTATCGAGACTCAGTGAACCTGTTGCTGTTTTGATCATCGGGGGTGTCATCAAAGGTACAAATAGCACGATCTCTTCATAAATAGTCCTTGTAAAGTTATTTTATTGTATATGTAGTTTCAATTTATTGTTTGCCCATAACAGACAGAGAGAGAGAGAGAGAGAGAGAGAGAGAGAGAGGGAGGATGGTATGTTTCTTAACATTATATAAACTACTTACTATTCCAGAGATTGAAGAAGACGGTCGTGGTGGTTATACCTTCAGTCAAATGACACTTCCAGAAGGGTCGGCTTTATTAGTCAAAATCCTGATACAGGAAACAGGGACGGTCGTGGGAATAATTAGTGGAATATCCCACCACTGGATTTGTACACTTGGAAAGACATTCAAAATATACGCTCATTAAACGGTTTTAATTTGTTTGGTCGCCAAAGATACATGTGGACATACACATGCATCCTCACTAGAAATGTTATGTACCAACGGAAAAAAATAACTGTGCTTCATATAATGTCCAACAAGAATAAATTTATTCTGAAGGCATCTTTTCGACTGTAAGGTCATGCACGGTGCACAATTTGCGTGTTTGTTTGGGGTATGATACTCACACACGTGTTTTTTTATTTTAACGGTACATAATGATTGTTTAGCTATCAGGTGCTCATAAAAACACCTTTGTTTAACCGTAAATAACGTTTATCTCTTTGGAGATGCTATCTACAACAGGGCAACACTCATGACTTGCCACGGGGCGGTCGTCCACGTGTAAGGTCACGTCAACAAGACAACCATATTCGGTTGGTGGATCTGTGGAATCGATACCAAACTGCCACATTAACAGCTTCCTGGAATAATTCCTGGAGTGAGACAGTGACAGAGCCGTACGTACCCGATTGAGGGAGAATAACATCCGGTCCCGAGGTCCAGCGATACGCCCAATTGTTCACATTACCGGCTTGGTGGAGATAGCATCTGAGGTTCAGAAAACAAGACTGGGGCAGTATAAGGATTAGTTTTATTCTATACTGAAAGGCCAATGGCCCATAGTACAATTCTATTTTCGGAAGTGAGTGAGTGAGTGTGGTTTTACGCCGCTTTTAGCAATATCAGAAATGGGCTTCACACAGGGTACCCGTGTCGGGAATCGAACCCGGGTCTTCGGCGTGACGAGCAAACGCTTTAACCACTAGGCTACCCGACCGCCCCTATTTTCGAAAGTGGTTGCAAGTATGTAATCACATTCTAATTAACATAGCATGATCAATGAACACTGATAGCTTTTTAAGAGTAGAATTATCCGTTGTTGACATCATCGATATATATATTTACTTCTTAGAAAGTCGTATTTTGGACAAACTTACATAAAACTAATCTCGTCACCAATGCCATTTAAACCACATTGCTCACAAATTCACAATTTTCTATAAAGGTTTCTATGTCTGCCTGCTTCAACCATAAATCTGTAAGAGCTGCATCTAAATTGTGTTGAGGCTATTCTAAATCTTTTAAAACATGTATCGAGCAAATAGTATTCTTAGGAAATAAAGCTTGTAATACTAACATTTTTCTGAACTTAACACGTTCTGCTATATGACCATTTCTGTAAGTAGACAGATAATAATACAGATACAGATAATAAGAACGAATCTGTATTACTGCGTATACATTGATTATCCGAAAGTCCATTCATTAATTTTAATAAGGATATACCCAATTACGAATTCCATGTTTTTCATTCATTAACATCACATCATAGCATTTCATTGGTCATCTATCGAAAGGCATTTTAAGAATCTTGAATTTAACATACTGAAAATATGTTAAGTGATACACGTCAACATTCACCACATACTACTCGATATACAGTGTTTTACGCCAAAGAATCGTTTACATATAAGTGGACCAGTTCAATAGGTCTGTTTTCATTTTGACCCCATACGTCTACTCCATATAAAGGAATAGGTGTAATTTTGCATCAATTATTTTTTAAAAAGTTTTTGGTTAGTTGGTTTGTTGTTTAACGCCGCACTCAGCAATATTCCAGCTATATGACGTCTGTAAATAGTCGAGTCTGGACCAGACAATCCAGTGATTTATATCATGAGCATCGATCCACGCAATTGGAATCGATGACATGCATCAACCAAGTCAGCGAGCCTGACCACCCGATCCCGTTAGTTGCCTTTCACGACAAGCATAGTCATCTTTTACGGCACGCATGGGTTGCTGAAGACCTATTCTAACCCGGAATCTTCACGGGTCTTTTTAAAAGGATTTATATGAAATTACAGTGAAGGATTTTAAACTATGTAAGATACCCATCAGTATAACTGTTCACATATGAGTCTACAGGCATCAAGGTAGACGATTTGCGATTGCGTTACTCAACGTCGTTAGTTTGGGGGTGAAAGTGTGATAGTATGAGGTGGCATCACAACTCATTGGAGAACTCGTCATTGGTTTTGACAATTTGAATGGCGTACGCGACCGAGGCGACATCGTTCGAAATCATGTTCTTTTTTATGCAAATGCAGGGACGTAACGGCACGTTGCAGCAGGATAATGCCTGCCCACGTTTTGTAACAGACGTTTTTAGACTGCATAACATTGCTGTACTCCCACGGACGGCGCTTTCCCCAACCCTCTCCCCCAGTGAATATATTTGGGATGACCATGTTGCTTACCAATGCAGCAACCGCTGCCCTGCTACTACCGTTGCCAAGCAACCCCTGTTGCTATGCAGCTAGCGCTGCCGGGCAAATACCATTCCAGGAAGGACGCCTACGACAGGACCAGAACTCATCAGTAACGTTGGCTCAGTTGGCCCAATCTATGGTTGATATTTGAAACAACATCCCCCAGGTAATAGATAACAAGTACACGAAGCCAATTATGTGCTTGTTATCTATTACCGTTGTTGTCTATGTTAATCTGCTGCTCACCACAACATTTCATGCATATATACCTCTCCTCACCTCTCCACAAAATCTACATCGAAACGTCAGGTATGCAATAAACTAGAAGTTGTAATCCATAAAGTTGTACGTTTTTCTTACTTATTTGGCCAACTTCTAGAATACCTTGAATTTTGTAACCTTGATCGAATAAACTTTGAGCAAAAGTCGTGTGACGCTCTTCGAAATCTCCGTTGAAAGAGCATACTCGATGGTACATAGAGTTGTGAAATGTAGACACCAAAGGCTGGAGCTGCTGGTATATTGCTCGACATAAAGGGACAGTTGACGTTTGGAAAGTCATCCCTCTTGTCACACAGTCGTCTGGAGAGTTATTTGTCACTCCGAATCTTTAGGCACAGATCTGAATATGAAACAGATGATGCAGTCTTACTGGTCTCTTTTGTTTCGAGTTCAGGTGCGTAAATCAGTGAAAGAGAATTGGCTATTTGATTGTTATTGAACGATATCAGATCAACGATATACCTGAAGCTACCAGACCCGATTATTTACAGACCGCCGCCATATAGCTGGAATATTTATATGAGTGCGGCGTTAAACAACAAACCAAACCAAACCAAACCAAATCCTAATTCAGGCACACTGACTCACCCAGTTTCATGGGTGGTACATGTATACATGTACTATGTGTTTGAAACTCCATCTTGTTCTAGAAATTGATGTATTAAAATGCTTCGGGCTGGACAATTCTCTTTAACGATTATACATTTAGGTCTTTGCTTATTTCTTCAAGAGAGGATAAATATATTTTCATAAACTATTTGCAGATCACGGAATATAATCCTCGATTGCTTGCCCCATTTCTGATTACAGTAGAATGCTATAGTTATAATGCAGTACAGTAGTGCAGAGTCCTCCTTCATGGAAGTGAACTGAAACATAAGCCTTTTTATCAGAATTGTGTTTCTAATCAACCTGGTGGATTCCCTCTAGATCCCGCAGCTCTAGTAACCCACGACCACTTAACATGCATAGGATGACGTGAATCTGAGATAATGAAGAAAAAGGTGTCATTGCCGATCAGAAGTGGATGCATCAGCCCAGTAAATCTATTATGTGAACGAAGTCACCAACGACGTCACGAACAATGAATGTCGTCACCTCTGCATTTGCGAAATAATTTGCCTCTTCGCAAACAATGAAAATAAAAGAATAACTTACATGCAGCAGAAAGTTTAATGCCCAATTAATTACTGAACATATCTGTTCGATAGCCTGACCATTATGAGAAGTATGAAGTAAAATTAATTGAACATTCATTTTTATAATATGAGTGAGTGAGTGAGTGAGTTTGGGTTTAACGCCGCTTTTAACAGTTTTCCAGTTATATCGCGGCGTGTCAGCTTAATGTGGGAGGAAAGCCAAAAGTGATGCAGGTCTCAGACGTTTACCACTTCGGTGAAACCCACGAGCACGGGTATGGTGCTGACAAACCTAGAAACATAATCGGGGCGAACCGGGATTCGAACCATACATAGGTTTCTGGCGTGCCCAAGGGACGCAACTCTGCACAGCGAATCGCGGCGCCTTAGACGACTGGGCCACCCGTGCCCCCTTTTATAATATGAACAACATTGAAAGGGTCATGTTCTTCGGATGTTCTTCAAATGTCTCTAGTCACTGTACCGTCACTCTCCTCAACCAGATATGATGATACGTAACAGATCAGTCTGGTGAATCGTGTCGCTGGCATAATTCGCCTTGTATAATTCATAATTCAGTTGCATGTAGTTCAGGGTGCACACACTCACACTGTACGTATGAAGGAACGACTGGTTCTCTTTCTTTAGGCCCCTTGACTCGCCTCTGGTTTCGAGGTGGACGCCACTGGCTACGCCTACGTCTATATAGACGACTATGACCCAAAGACGAGGTCCCGGGTTACGAATGTTCACATGCGGTACAGGGCCATGACGGGTATTTTTATTTGGGTTTTATTCCATCTGGAAATAACTAAATGTTCTCTTTCTTAGTGACATGAATTAACAACCCCGACTTAAAAACGCAGTCCCTGTCTGACTGCGCCTATTTTGGAGATATAATTCGGCTGCTTGGATCAAGTAACGGTTAACGGTAGCTCTACATTGAAAACAGTAATGACATTATAACCATGATATATAACAACAACACAATGCGTTCTACCATGACAAATCTTAAACGCTTAATGTTAGTGAATATATTTAGTGAAGCGGTATGCGTTGAAGTTGATGTTAGGCTGAATAAAGAAACACCGGTTGCTATTTAACGAATATGGCAATGTTCTTCCCCTAACATTATTATTTTATATTATAACTACATTTATGTGGAAAGCATTGAACATGTTGAGCATAGCTTCTTAAGACAACATGAAGTTGACACCCCTGAAGAAAATTAAGAACGGTGTGCAAGGCTAAGTTTTCACCGCACTTCAATCAATGACACGCAAATTTGAAGCACAACATATGACGTCATGGTAGGATATAGAAAAGCACCAGAGTTTAAATTTTTGTTGTCCCTTCAACTCTTCTTTTACAATTATTACCTTCCGAGATGATGCGGCCCTCAAATCAGCTGTTGCAATCAGAGGGGAGTACTGTGATTTGAAACCTCTGATTGACCAAACAGATTCCAGTATTTTACAAATTAATGGTGGAATGCCGATTTCAGGGGGTTTACTCCATTTGCTCAAACACCAATTGGAAAGCAGTTGGTCATTGATGACCTCAAAGGAGAGTTGCTGAAGGGATCTCTGCTATCGTACAGCATCTACACCACGTACTGCGAACCCAGGCCCAAGAACTATACCCATGTACATTTAGATGCCGGGCCTATTGATGATATGTACACGCGATAGTGAACAGACATGTGTGGGCCAACTTTACATGACAGTGGATAGCGCTAGGACAAGATATGCCGAAACACAAATGAACACAGACCTATACTCTGACATGAAACATATATGCGTGGCTGTCTATCACATTATTATCTTATGTCCTCACAAATATCGACAATGGTCATTGAACTGATAGTAAAAAGGGTGAAAGACTCCAGGTTATAAAAGGTCACCAGTACTATACTATCCCATCCTTGTGGTGAGATTCGACAAAAGAGGCACGGGTGGTAACAATGTGTCACCTGACTGTGGGTCATCATGTCCGACGGTGTATATCGTTGCTTATGCTTTCACTCATTCCCAATCTCGATTTTGACAGTCGCCGTGATATCGCTGGAATATCACTGACTGTGGCGCATAATAACATTCGCTTGACATGCGCCCCTCCGTTGCTGCAAAGACACCTAATGATCAGTTGTCTCCCTTAGCTTATTCAACACTGATGGCTCAATGTTAACGACGTTTTCAGAGTATCGATTGGATCCAGACGGGAGCGTCGTTTTCACCTACCGGGTTTTTAAGCGTGATTTATCAATGGATATCATAACTATCAAGATGCCGTCATCAGATGACATCAATTTTGAGAAGTACACTATTTCATAATGCTTGCATTCCAGAGAATCTTGATAATTCCATGAGTTTTGTCACAAGCGTAATAATCAGATCTTGGTAAGATGTAATGTCTGTTATTTTCAGAAAATATATTATTACATTATCGGAGCGGTAAATGTTAAACCTACGTGAAAAATAATGACGTCAATATATATTGTAACGAAACAGAAACATCCAGTGACATCAGATGACATTTTTAATGCGCAATTCCTACAATGATGACATGTTGATTAGGTTAAAGTAAATTTATTAATAAAGGCTTACATAAAGAGTTCCTTGATTTTTGGGTATGTCCACTGATATGAGGGCATCGTTATTTTACGTAACAATGAAATATAGACAAACTAATAACAGGTGAACACCATCACCACTTTCCTGAAAACTTCATAACTTATCCATTTCTTGGTTTCATAATTCATATGTTTAGAAGGTTGTTCGTCTATTCCTTGTAAACAAAAGAAACGTCCTATACACCCGAAGGTTTCCATAAGTAAAATAATAGTATGTAAAATCGTCTTCTATCCCTTGTCTTTGAACAGACAAATACTGTACCGTGACGATCACCCTGGGAATATAAAACATGAGCACACCGGTGTGAAATATTTTACAAGCGTTTCACATGTTGTACTCGTACGATTATTCTGATCCATGGACATTCTTGAGTGACACAATACTAACTCAGGTAATGCATGTCTCTTAATGCACAACATTTCAAACTTATATTTGATACATTTTATGTAGTAATCAATATCATAATAATCTATAATGCATTGTACTTCCTCGTACTATTTCAATATATAAATAATTTATGACACCATTACACAAATTTGGCTTTCATGAAGTCGTTCTGTCTTCTAGTGAGTGAGTATGGTTTTACGCCGCTTTTAGCAATATTCAAGCAATATCACGGCGGGGGACACCTGAAATGGGCTTCACACATTGTACTCATGTCGGGAATCGAACCCGGGTCTTCGGCGTGACGAACTAACGCTTTAACCACTAGGCTACGTCTCCGCACCTCTGCCTCCTTAAAGTAACCTAGACATTCATGTTGATGATACTGACCTCATACCTCCGATGGAAGTACTTACTAACGTGTCCTATCACTAAGAATATACACATTTAGTTTTAATTGTCTGTTGCGTTATTTGTCCTCTTACTGTATGGGGCGCGATGCCCACAACCCCGGGATCCTTAGTGCGTGTTTACTATTAACGTTTACTATGTCGTTTGTTATTTCCTCGACAGACTGACACAGAACTACACTGATTCACGGGGGGTAACTCTATATAGATTCTCGACGTGCTCAGCACTGGGTATTGTAGATAAATATCTGACCTAGATACACGCCACACCTAGATTAGGCTGGCGACTAACACGACAGTTGACCAGCTGCTTTATGATGGTGCCCACTACTCCAATACTCCTTCTCCTCTTGGTCAGTGTGATCAGGTAAATACTTACCTTACCGACACCCCAACAAACAGACTGCATCCACCTATGTTTGTGTAGATCTAGGTAGCCCTGATATTGCTATTCTATCGAATACACCTGACTTGACAAACCTTTGTATGTCTACAATGTCTAGCAATGTGACTTGACAAACCTTTGTACAATGTCTAGCAATGCTTATGTAGATAGTCCGGGTATTCATATCATATAGAGTAATGTTTATAAAGGAAGTCCCCATGGCACTACCGCCAACTGTATGGGCTAATGTTTAAGTAGGTTGATTTTCTATCGGTAAATGCTTATTTAGGTGGATCTTGATTTTCGGTTGCATCGACCTATGTTTATTTAAGTAGTTCTGGTTGGTTATATTGACCAGTGCATATGAAGGTAGTATTGTATTTGCGGTTGTATGGACCTGTACATCACTATGTAAACTGCCAGGGAAAAGAAATATACTTTACATTTGAAAATTTGATTTGACCCAAAAAGTACAAACGGAATCAAATCTTCACTCGGCTGAAAACAGTTTTCGAAACACTGCGATGATACCCGTATCAAATACATCTCCGTCGAATAACCATTTCTTGTTTGGGTGTATACTTGTTTTTGCCCGGCAGGATATGTCACACCATATTGCACGGCTTGTCCCAGATCATATCTTATCTACTTATCATAGGACCTCACTATGCCATCATTTCTGAACATATAACAAAACAGTTCTGTATTACCCATGTTCGTTTACATTCCAAAAGTACAAAACATATTATTATCAGTATTATAACTTTTGCAATTTATTAACAATATTTGCACATCTAAAAAGATTATTAGCCGAGTGTCTTTTCGTATAGTAAATATTTTATAATAGGAGTATATTATCTACACTTTTTGGGAACGTTATGCAATTATAGTTTTTTTGCATGTATGCATCACAGCATGGCATTATTCACGGCACATAGACGATGATTTCAGCAAGCTTGGCATTACGTAAGAGGTTGAACGAAAGTGTTTTTATGAGCAACTGATAGCTAAACAAGCATTGTGTGCCGTCTCATTAAAAACCGCATGTGTGAATATCAACAATCCAAATGATACGCCGTGCAGGAACATACACATGCAAATTGTGAATCACGACTTTCAAGAGGAGAAGATGTCTTCATGAATATGTATTGAAAGATGCAGTATTTTATTTCAGAATAATCTTTTTGTTATTGAACTGTATCTGAAGCACAGTTGATATATATTATACCATGGTTGGCCTTGAAATGCGAAGACCTACTTAGATCAACTGTCTTGAAGTCCACCTACAAAACAGCAATACTTGAATTGACGCTTTATGCAGCCTAAACGTATTGTCTATACATGTACGTCATATCAGTTATAAGCATGTTAATAAATCAAAACTATATTCACAATAGCAATACCGTGCATTACTGATTTTCTTGATCCTCGGTATATTAAAAAGTACGAATTCCAAAAGCGGTTTAGCATTACCCTGCCCGAGCTAAAATGATTTGTAATTATACAATAAACGAAAAGGCATCATTAATGGTTATTGAAAATCCGTTTGACAGTACTGCATCATTCCGTCATTCCATTGGCCAATATCTAGTTCGAAACTTTACATGCATAGGATGACGTGTCTGTTTGTTTTAATCAACCAGCAGTAGCAGCAGCAGCGCTACGTACCCACGACCACTGCTACCTGAAGAAACAACTGATCACTTCCTGGCGGGGGCCCTGCTTAGTTACTCTGTCAACATGACTGGCTGCAAGACGGTGGCCCAGACGTCCCCTCCCATCAAGACAAACGACTTTGGAGACGACATCAGACACGGCCGCTACGTCATGTACGGCCCTCTCAACAACCTCACGTTCTGGAGACAGCGTTACGTGGATGACAGACACGAAACTAGAAGTGGTGGGTGTGACACTATCTGAAACTATCATTATGCATTTCTTCTGATTTTTCTAAGTTGGCATAAACATGTTTGTGTCACAGGCAATCTGACAAACATTCAAACTCAATGGTCAATAACACAATTTGAAGATATATTTCTGCTTTAAGAGTTCATTCGTATATTTTCGTCATCCTCTCACCCAGGCCCCACGTCCCGCCTCACTGGTGTTCAGATGGATGCCACCGGCTATGCTTACGTCTATATAAACGACTATGACCCAAAGACGTTGACCAGAATGGCCTATCTTCACATGGAGTGTTGGGCCATGACAGGTATATTCGACATTTCGTATCTTTACTTCTTTCGCTGTAATTGAGCTGTATTTCCTCCTCTGATTCCCCTTAATGACTTTGAAAATAATGCACAATTTAGAAAAAAGAGAGTGATTTTTAGCTTTTTGTTTCAGGGTTTACACCAATTGCTCAAACGCCAGGAGGAAAGCAGTTAGTTTTTGATGACATCAAAGGAGAGTTGCTGAAGGGATCTCTGCTATCGTACAGCATCTACACCACATACTGCGAACCCAGGCCCAAGAACTATACCCATATATATGTAGATGCCGGGCCTATTGATGGTATGTATGTGATACCGTTATTCTGTCCTGTGTTAATGCTAAGGGTATTTCTAGGGTGGATGCTATCTGTGCAATGGTTTCCCAAACATGTGTTGTCAGCGATTATTATTTCCGTGTATTTTTGTTCCATTTTTTCCGTAAGCGTCCCATTTCACATACAGAATAAATTCGTCTACTACGAAGGCTTTGGTGTATTACTGTGATGTTAAAGCAGTTGCTTTTATTGTTTTAAACCTAAAACCCAAATATTTCATCATGTCATAGCAGAAACATATGCATATGCCAGAATACGTTTAATAACAGAGCACAATAGAGTTACAGCTGATATGTCCAATAAGAAATACCATTATTCCTTTCTATCAGGTTACCATAATATCTACACCAAAGAATGATCATGTATTTATTGTTTATTACCGTTTACGGTGTGCATGAGCGTCAGTTGTAAGAAGAGAAAGCGTCACATCAACTCTAAACTTATTGTACTAATAGCTAAGTGAATGTTAACGACATTTTCAGAGTATCGATTGGATGAGGACGGGAGCGTCGTTTTCACTTACCGGGTTGTGAACAGTAATTTATCAATGGATATCATAACAATCAAGATGACGTCATCAGATGATATCACCTTGGAGAAGTACACGTATTCACAAAAGGGAAATCCAAGACAGTTAGTTACGAAAACATGCAAGTACACAATAGGGACGTTTGGATTTGGTGTGTATAAAATAACGTCCCCACAAACTTGATATGCTCGATTGATGGCAACTGACTTGTATGATTGTATTGTGGTGAATAAAGCGTCACCTGTATATGATCCGATCATGTCTTGACTTTGTGTTTAACAAGTGAATATTAATAGCAATTACAAGGGGCGTTCAATAAGATTTGCAACTTCTATATACGACCAAGTCGAAGAATATCTTTTGCACTTTATGTTTTAATATAATCTCCATTGACCACAATACACTTTTTCCATTGGTCCTTCAAGCTTTTAATACCACTTTTCTAGAAATCCGCAGATTGGCCCTCTAACAACGCCTCTGTGGCAGCCTTTGTGTCCTCGTCATCCTGGAAGCGTCTTCCACGTAGGGCAGATTTCATTTGCCGGAACAGGAAATAGTCACTGGGGGGCTAAGCCTGGGCTGTAGGGTGGGTGATTAAACTGTTAGAATCCACATTCACATATGGCGGCCTGTGCAATTCTTTTGCTTTTCATCTCTTCTTGGTAAGGAACTTTATTACAGCGCGTTGTTCATGTTTGAGAGAATCCATGATTGTGACCACCCTTAGGTGAATGAAGCCATCACATCTAACTTATTGTTGTGTCTGGAACTTGTTATAACACGTGTCAACCTGATGTTATGACTAGTGTCACACCTGCCACAAGTTGGCACTGTTTGTGTAAACACAAATGCCCAAGTTGCAAAACTTATTGAACGGCTCTCGTATGATCAAATTGACTACTTTTTAAACCATTCGTCACTACTCGCCCCTTTCCGTAACCTGCAAGAAGACTCGTCCCCCTATCGATGAATGCGTTGTGCGAAAATACGACAAACCAATCAGAATGCGGGTATGACTTCAAGTTCTTCGTCACAGAATCCCTCAGAAATAATATTTGATTGTATATATGACTTGCATCTAAAAATATACTCAAGACACAGTTAAATGTGTTCAAACATACTGTATAATTCCGCATGTCCCGGTGTGCCTTAAACTGCATATGAAATATATATAATATACGGGGAGATATATATGAACCATTACGCAACGAGTTGACAATTGTTTCAGGCATGCCCGTTTGCACTAAGACGGAACTCGGTCGCAAAAATGGCCACGAGAGGGGCACGAGTCGCTATTCGGCTTGTCCCGGAATAACACGAGTTGGTCACGAATGCATGTCCTATGCTGTGTACTTTGCAAAAGAGCACCAACTACTCTCAGTGACTGTAACGTTCAACTTGCATCCCAAAGGGTGATCGATGATCAGGAGATAGATTAACAATCTTAATATTAATAATTCCACAAGACATCATAGAAGGCGTTGGGCCGCCTCCGAAGTGGATAGAACGTATGCCCGGAAGGGCGAAAAGTCGGAGATTTGATCCCCGGCCGCGTCATAAGAAAAGACGTAAAGATGGTACTTGTTGTTACCCTGCCTAAATGATAGACAGGTAACGGGCGTCGCATGAATATATCGAAAACTGAAAATTAGTTACTTATTGTCAACAATTGTCAGTTATCAATGAATTCACGCGCTTACCACATAATCTATATTGTTTACAGATTGACCAGTCTCCTCACTGTGTACACAAGAAACCAGTTGTCAAGAGTGAGTGAGTGAATAAGGGGGTATGGTTTTACGCCGCTTTTAGCAATATTCCAGCAATATCGCGGCAGAGGACACCAGAAATGGGCTTCACACACTGTACTCATGTGGGGATTTGAACCCGGGTCTTCGGCATGACGAGCGAACGCTTTAACAACTAGACTACTCAAACGACCCCCTTTGTCAAGAAGGTCCTACGTTATTATACGTGTTGGGGAAAAATAGAAAGTAATACCTCAAAATGAAATGAAAATGAACAAATACCTCACCATAATACTTGTGAAGAACATGAAAATTAATTGGGAAAATAATTGTGTATTTTAATTTGTATTTTCTTTTAAATTTTAGTTTCTTCCTTCTGACACACCTTCAGACAATAACAAAATATGTACACATTGGGTTGTATACCATAAATGTGCGACGCGAATACATTAACTTTGTATGTCATAGCCTTTGATATAACAAACAAACAAACAAACAACCGTGAAACCTTTACGGCATTTTGATAACCCAATTAAATTTCCTCTTATCGCTGTAAAGATGAAACGTGTTCTAGCATTTCTTGACGTACCTATGTCCTTTCCATCCTTTCATTTTGTAAAGCCTGTCAATGTTCCTGCTATGTGTCCGGTGTGAATATCATTTCACTAAGGTATGTACCTATGTTCTAGATTGTCTATATATGATCCTCTACATGGTTGTATGTAACATATATAGTCTAGTATATGATCGCTTTGTTGAACGGGGCCGCTTTACGTAATATTAAATTTCTAAACTGTTTGCACATCAGCTATGTTACATGCATTGAATGTTACAAATACCATCTTGACACAAACAGTAGAAAACGGGTTAGTGGGTCGTTACAGAAATCAGATTAAATCTAATCACCTGCTGTCGTACACGAAGGCGCCATCATGACCCGATCGTGCCATTTGACCATTCTTCTGTTAGGTATTCCTCTGGGGTATGTTGTACGTTGTATGGTATTGTTCAAGATATTGTAAAGTGTTTAATCGTATATTCTTTCACACGGGATAAGAAAACGATTGGCCAAGTTGAAAAAGTTGTGCTGTAATTCCCTTTAACGGGTAATCTTCGAGTGTGAGTTCGAATTTATGCTCCTTTGGAAGTTTTTCAGTCATATCACGTATGTGGTTTACTTTGTTAAATCAACAAGAGCGGATATGGTGCCGACGAACAAAGAATTATAATCGGTGCAACTGCTGGATTCGATCCTGATCTAAGGGGCGCAACTCTGCATAACGAATCCTGAGAATACTGATACCTTTATATTTACCCTCTCACTTTTGCCTTTAGTATTATATAGACTTACCAGCACACATATTTTACCGAGAAGTCTGCCTGCCTGGACGCCCAAGCTCTTGACTCCAGGAGAGTTCCTAGACTATTACATCAACGCCGCAGCTCTCAGCTACTTCGTGAACATCAAGCAATGCACCAACGACATCTACAGCAACATTACGATGTATTCGTATGGGGATGTCATCACCAATGGCTACGTGACCAGTTACCCTACTGGAAAGTTCATCTTGACGTACAGCTCAGACAGGGAGGTCGACGGGAGGCACCTCAATCTAACTGGTTTGTAATGCCCCATTAGACCGCAACTCTACAACCAGCTGACTCATACTGACACACGCGTACACACACACACACACACACACACACACACACACACACACACACACACGCACGCACGCACGCACAAACACACACACATATACACACACGAACACAGCAATCCCTACTCTTCAACTACAAATAATTCAATGTAGGCTATAACAGGTTATAATTATCTTGTTTTATACAGGTCCTGCTATCAGGTCAACAGGCATTGCCCTTGACGACTCACCAGATGTGCTTGTGGGTATGAACGACATCAATCCCGCTACCGGAAGCGTAATGGACCAATCACAAGTTGTCTGCAAAAACGAGGGAAACGACCAAGGGTGCTTATTCGTATATATATATAGAGAGAGTAACTCTTCTGTGGATGGTAAACGAATAGATTGAACTATTACATATATATTAGTGAGTGAGTGAGTATAGTTTTCCTTTAGTTCCTGGAGTAGCTGAAATTAAAACTGAATTTGGTAAAAGCAGAATGTCTCACTCTTCCTCCATTCTTCTTCAGGGGTTTTCAGTTGTTTGCTCAGACGCCTAAAGGAACTCTACTGACGACGTTGAAAGATGTTCAGATGTCGCTTATGACTGGGGAGATTGTGTATTACGTCTTTGATATCTACCACTGCGTACCTGTACAACCATTGGATGCCAAACAGTACTACGCTGGAAGAATCGTAGGTACGCAGAATCACTTAGTAGACCCACGTGAACATGAACACATTTTTTAGTATTAGTAAACAGCTGCTATGTTACATGATTGAAAGAGTGAGTGAGTGAGTGAGTGAGTTTAACCCCGCTTTTAACAGTATTCTAGTTCTATTGAGGCGTGTCAGCTTAATGTGGGAGGAAAGCGCGAAGTGAAGCAGGTCTCAGACGTTTACCACTTCTGTGAAACCCACGACCACGGGTATGGTGCTGACAAACCTAGAAACATAACTGGGGCGAATCCGGATTCGAACCCACGTTCATAGGTTTTTGGCGTGCCCAAGGGACGCAACTCTGCACAGCGAATCGCGGCGCCTTAGACGACTTGGCCACCCGTGCCCACATAATTTAAAGACCAAAATTGTATGATATGTCTTCTCCAGTGAATTAAGTAGCACTAACAAACTAATTAAAATATTTTGAATGTGATCTATTTTAGCTTTCCTTAAGAGTTTTAATTAATGTCCTTCTGATAAGTCAATAACAGATACATCCACTCATTAACCTGTTGTCATCGCTACAGGCAACCCAATTCCTGTCTCGGCTTTTAAGGGAAGATAGTCTGGTGCCTATAATCACCCAGTGTCTAGACTTTTAATTAGACAATTGCGAGATAAATCTCGTGTTTCAAGCTGATTAAACAGACGAGTAAAGCGTTGCCTCTTAACTTTGAATAAACAGCGCTTCCGTTCATAACTACTCAATTCTTTTTTGGTGGAATTTCAGAGATCTTTATGTGATATCTTGGCGGCACGATGACACCATATTACAAACGTACCGCGGAAATTCCGCAGCCCTATCGCCGTAATTCCGCAGCAGCACCGTGGTAATTCCCCAGACGTTCGTTTCGCGGTTGGTTCGCAATCGCGCGTACCCGGGATATTTCGCAGTCGTGCGTACTGCAGTTATTCCGCAACTGTGTCCCTTTACTCCCGCAGCAATTCCGTGTTAATTCAGCAACCACATCATTGTAATTCTGCAACAGTACCGCGCTAAATCCGTAACCACATCGTTCATATTCCGTTACAGTAAAGTGATAATTCCGCAACTGTGTCTACCGCGTTGATTAGGCTAACGTATCTCGATAGCACTGCGGAGGTTTTACGGACCTGAATTGAGGTTAGAGGTATTAAGTATTTTCAAAACAGGTGTTATGGCATTTAAAACTACTTACTCTTTCAACATGCTATTTTTCAGATTTTCGGATCAACAAGAAGGGAGCAATGGTATTTTCGGATCGCCTCCTTGGCCTGGGGTTCATTACAGTCTTCAATGTTGAGCTGACGTCCGAAACTAACGTCACAATTGACATGTACATGTACTCGCGACAAACATCGGAGTCAACCCATTTGGCCAACAAAAAATGCATATATGGAGATACACTTAAAATCTACAAACATGCTCAGTAAAGTAAGTGTTTCTGTTCACAAATCAGTTGATAGACCAATAAAATTACTGCAGTTTGTCCCAACATTTGGTTTTACTTTGAACTTATTGTACATGTTCCATGTGTTTCAATTATTTTCATTAGGACCGCCTCCGTGGTCCAGTGGTAGAACGTCCTCCCGGAGAGCGGAAGGTCCGGAGTTCGATCCCCGACCGCGTCATACCAAATGACGTTAAAAGATGGTATTTGTTGTTACCCTGTCTGGCGCTCGGCATTAAGGGCCTAAAACAAGGACTGGTCGGCTCGGAGTCAGTATACTGTGTCTGAATTGGGTTTTTATGTTAAACTGCGGCATGGTATCTCAGTGGGCTAGCACTATAAATCGGCCGGAATAGTACAAGCAACCACACACATGACTGGTTCTAGTTTTAATATTATTGCAAATTTACGATAATGCTTACTCAACGAATTTACAGAAACACAGATCATATACATACATTGAGTGCTTAGAATTCACCTGCTCAACCAATTCGGCCTTTAATTGAAGATAGTCTGGTGCCTATAATCACCTTACACGATATACGGCTTTTCCATTGGACGAGAGGTCGGTCACATGACCGCGAAATTGACGTTCATAAGTGTATGAACGACACAATTTGACGTTCATACGTTTTTCACGAGACCGTGTTCTTGAAATGACGCAAACACCGACGGACTACTTCCACATTCCTGGGGAAAACCCTGGGAATTCCTTAGCACGAAAACATACATAAACGTTCTTTCTGATCAACAAGCCGAATAGCGACTCGTACCCCTCTCGTGGCCATTTTGGCGACCGGGTTCCGTCTTAGCGCAAACGGGCATACCTAGAACAATTGTAAACTCGTTGCGTAATGGTTCACATATGTTTCACCATATATTATATGTATTTCAGATGCAATTTAAGGCACAACGGGACATGCGGAATTATACAGTATGATTGAACACATTTAACTATGTCTTGGTTATTTTTTTAGATGCAAGACATATGTAAAATCAAAACGTATTCCTGAGGGATTCTTTGAAGAAGTCATACCCGCATTCTGATTGGTTTGTCGTATTTTCTCACATAACATTCATCGATGGGGGTGGGGGTGGGGTTGGGGTTGGGGTTGGGGTTGGGGTTGGGGACGAGTCTTCTAGCAGGTTACGGAAAGGGGCGAGTGGTGACGAATGCATTTGAACATGCCGTATTTCCGACGTGGATCGCTGCCCCTTGGTGAAACCATCCGCAATGTTTAATATATGACGATTTGCCTACATTGTTTTGATCATTCATTACGAGACCCTGCACATGTATTACAAATGCTGACCGTATATTGCTTTCAAAGTTCATTTATCACTATGTAAAGCTATCAGATATCACAGCATGACCAATAGTAGTTACCCGGTACAGGAACAATGGTCCATATTAACCTTTGAACATATCAACCAGCAACTCATCTTCTCATGACGCGTCACGTGTGACAGCAGGTAGTATAGTGTTCCCAACACTCGCAATCGAGAAGTCATTGATACCACCGGTTATCTACAGAAGCGACTCAACACCCTGGATTGTCTGATAAAGAAGATAGAGAAGTATAGATATATTAAGGACAAGTGTTGACATGGAAACCTACCTGTTGGTGATCGCTACTGGGCTTATGTACGTACAGAGTTTAGCATAAGAAAATGCTGTATGATAGACATCTATTTGCTGTATAGGGAACTATTGTTTATGGGTTCCTGTGCTAAATTGGCGCTGATTGTGTTTGCTGGCACTATACCCGTGCTCGTGGGTTTCACAAAAGTGGTAAACGACTGAGAAATGCTTCACTTAAGGCTTTCTTCTCACACAGAGGTGACGCACCGTGATATAAACCGAAATACTGTTCAAAGCGGCGTTCACATTCTCTGACTTAAACATCATTGTTAATACTTTTGAACTCTACCATTGTCTTTCTCTTAATTTTTCTAAAAATGTCCCGTTGTTAGTCCAAGGACACGGAGTGTTATAACCATTTCATTTATAAGAATAACAGTTACTGATGATTGTAAAATTATTGTTCTCTGAACTCTTTAAACGTGTCGTTGGGGGAAAACAAGTAATTGTGACACCTCATTACCTCGATATATTGGGGGCCATCGATAGTACACTTTACCCGTTGTTCGAGACAAGCGTAGTGTCGATGCGGTGTCAAGCAAAAATCAAGCACTTACTTTATTATGCAAATTCTCTGAGTTGCGGGTGCTACCGGTAGAGCAGGACATGCTAACCCTTTTCTCGAACACCTGCTGTCATAAGTGATTTTCAGTCATCCATTTATATAATTTTCAACGCTATTTTGCCTTTTACGCCCAATGGTATCTCTTTGGGCAGAAAATCGAGGCTGGTTATTATCTGGTGTTGACGTTTTAAGTTACCATATCCCGGATTACTTAGTGGTAATATAGTGAGATCGTCTTATATCATATGTAATGATATAATGAGTTCAGGTTAACGAGGTTTCAGACACCTTAAATAAAGAAACGTCATCAACGTTATCAGTTAGTTTTCCACACTTGATACAGAATCACGAAACTTACAGGCCGCTGGGACAAAACTAGGATAGTGCCAACTTTTGCGTTAACCTCCATTGACGCACTCACTCACTTCCCAAATAACCGACATTCTTTCATGACTTTGAAATAGTTTAAGGTCAGTTGTTGAATCAAACTTTTCCTCAATCATTGTGGGTGGGCAGTTTCAACGGTATTAGCAAATGTAGGTTGTTACAAAGTGTCGACATTCTTTCATGACTTTGAAATAGTTTAAGGTCAGTTGTTGAATCAAACTTTTCCTCAATCATTGTGGGTGGGCAGTTTCAACGGTATTAGCAAATGTAGGTTGTTACAAAGTGTTGAGTTGCGGTCCCTGAAATATATAACGTATGTGACAGTTAAGTTTTAACAGAAAGCACCTGCCCTTGAAAATCGACTTTGATAATAGAGACTATATAACAAGTGTTTGAGCTACAATGTCCCATTTTACCAAGGTTAGGCGGGTGCTCCTGCAAACCATCACAGCTATCATTTGGAGATGCTGTCAAGTTTCTTCAAGTCGGGGGGCAGATATCGTACGACTTGAATGTCAGCAAATGCAGCAACAGTCTGCCCAAGAAGATCCCATCCTTCTCGTGGGGGGACAGGGTTGACGACGCCATCATCTTTGACGAGGGAAATGCACAGTTCTCAGTAGAGTTCTCTATCACCAGGAAGGTCAACGGGATAAGATATAACCTTACAGGTTGGTTATACACCCCTTCTAGGTTACACACAACCAAATGTTTTTCCATAGACTTCTATAGTGACGTTATCTTATTTTTTAAATAATTAAGCAGCTATTACCTATACGTGTGTGCATAGTTTGGCCTTAGAGCAGCAATAAAAACAAAAAAATGACCAGCTCAGCCATCTACTTTTCTACACACCACCCGCAGTTCCGCACCAAATGTCACCTACTTGAAAATATCTGTGGTCACATTCAGCATAAGTCATCATGTTGAAAAAGACAGCACTCAATATTGAAAAAACATGGCCAGTTTTATTTACTTGATGGATGTACATTTAAAAGACATAGAAATTCTTACACAATACCATCAAATCACAGCCTGCAGATATCTATCGATCTGCACTAAAAGCTACGAAAACGGAAAAGTCACATCTGGTTCGGATTTAGTGTAGCAGAACCTGTACTCCATGTACTGTTGAACCATGTCATCAACCAGGTGGGGTTTCATCTTGAAGTCAATCAAAGGCATTAATGCAAGCCAAGCGCGTACAGATACACACATATATAGAGAGAGTCAATGCGTGTACGGTATATCCATACACAGGTGTATGAGTACATGTATATCCAGCGCTGGTAGACACATGTACACCTGTGCAGGGACAATGTTTGCAGAGACCCTTGTGTGTGAGGTTAAAGTATACACGACACATACATGCAGCTTATACACATATCTATGAAGGTCATTGCATGCCAACCACATGCAGACACTATCTATGTCATTTTATACCCAGCATGTACAGACACCTATCTCTGTCAATGTATTCCCAGCATGTACAGACACATATCTCTGTCAATGTGTACCCAGCATGTACAGACACCTTTCTCTGTCAATGTATACCCAGCTTGTACAGACACCTATGTCAATGTATACCAAGCATGTACAGACACCTTTCTCTGTCAATGTATACCTAGCATGTACAGACACCTATGTCAATGTATACCTAGCATGTACGGATACCTATCTATGTCAATGTATACCCAGCATGTACAGACACATATCTATGTCAATGTAAACCCAGCATGTACAGACACATATCTATGTCAATGTAAACCCAGCATGTACAGACACCTTTCTCTGTCAATGTATACCCAGCATGTACAGACACCTTTCTCTGTCAATGTATACCCAGCATGTACAGACACCTATGTCAATGTATACCTAGCATGTACGGATACCTATCTATGTCAATGTATACCCAGCATGTACAGACACATATCTATGTCAATGTAAACCCAGCATGTACAGACACATATCTATGTCAATGTATACCTAGCATGTACATACACCTATGTCAATGTACACCTAGCATGTACAGACACATATGTCAATGTATACCAAGCATGTACAGACACATATCTATGTCAATGTATACCCAGCATGTACAGACACCTATGCGTGTCAATGTATACCCAGCATGTACAGACACATATCTATGTCAATGTATACCTAGCATGTACAGACACATATGTCAATGTATACCCAGCATGTACAGACACCTATGTCAATGTATACCCAGCATGTACAGACACCTATGTCAATGTATACCCAGCATGTACAGACACATATGTCAATGTATACCCAGCATGTACAGACACCTATGCGTGTCAATGTATACCCAGCATGTACATTCCGTAGATATACCTGTGTAAACCCATCTGTCTTCCCTGTCATATATCTTCTATATCTTCTATATGTCTATCCAATTGTGTAATAGCCATGACGATTTAGACAGAGTGTCGGTCTACTCAGAATTTGTCAGTATCATAAGTAAACATGGGGACACAAGTTTGGTTCAGTACAGTACTAGACAGTCACATGTATCACGGTTTGTCAGCTTAATTTGAGATAAAAGTCCAAAGTGTCGAAGATCGTTGAAATTGTTACAGACTGACACAAATCGTTTGTCCAATTAACAATGTTCATGTTCAGTTGTTTCCCGGCACAGATTGTTACCTCGTCAGGAAACAATGCCGGTATATAAAGGACATTGGAGTCAATATTAGTGCTGGTACCCGGAATATAGAGTTTTGATAAGAATGTTTGCAAAGACCGGAACTCAATGCCGGTTTATAGAGTGTCGAAGTGCTTGGAAGACAGAGGTGTATCTGCACAGCAATACACAGATATGCTTGTGACAGCTTATCTCTCTCTATCGATGATCAGATCGCCCTGTAAGGTTCACTCAAATATCCGTCAGTGCCGACCAAGTCTTTGTGGAGATCACGGACGTCAACGAAGATGCTCCCGCCTTTCTTTCAACCGGCTCTATTCAGTGTGCAAGTACAGACGGGTAAGGCCATCATTTTAGAAAGTATCAAATGCATGTCTTGAGACCTCTGGATTCTGGAGATTCTGCCAGAGAGCGAACAAAGTACTTGGCACCAATGTCTACATGACAACTTTGTCTATTTTACTTGGATGGGTGGGTAGGATGATGCCAATTGATATCAGATCATCTGTTTGACACCTAATGGAGTGCTATCTGCTAGTCGTCAGCTACTGGTTGCACTGGGGGATATCTCTCCCTTTTACTCCCAATATACAGGAACAAGTAAGAGACCAAGCATTGTGAATACATACTAAATCACGCGAGACCCCACGCAGAATCACTACTTTGTGATCCATCTGAATGAGACTAATATATCGAAACGCTTAGTTCAAAAGCATTTCTGCACATGTGTTCCTTATTCAGCAAAATGTGTGCTACGGTCGGCAGTTACTTAACATTTTTCAGTATGTTACAAAGAGTAGGGGAACCCATATGGCTACAAATACTGCTTCCAGAGGTGTTGTTGTGAACAAGTTGTCCACGCCAAGCGGAGAGGTGACCACCCAGGATGACCTCATCAGCCGCCTCCGCATGGGCTACGCCATGACCTACGCGTTACAGTGGGATAAGTGTTCCCCAGATAACACTACGACCAACCAGTGGTGGTCCGGGAGGATCTCAGGTGAGGGTAGGGGGTGAAAGGGGCGAGTAAGTGAATGAAAGGTAAACGCGTGCAGGAGGAGCGAGTGAACGAGGGGGTAAATGCCGAGGTGAGCGTGTGAATGAGGGATAAGTGAGTGCTTGAGAAGTGAGTGAGTGAGGGGTGAACGAGTGGTAACTGAGTGCTTGAAGAGTGAGTGAATGAGGGGTGAATGTGTGCTTGAGGAGTGAGTGAATGGGTGGGGTTTTAGGTAAGTGAGACAGTGAGTGATCATAAAGTGAATGAGTAGGGGTATATATGATTGTTGACCTATAACGTGTATCTATTTGTTTCCAGGTTACCGGTTTGGCCACAATGGCGGCGTCAGCTTCACCCAAGTTGTAGATAGTGCCCAAAAGGAGTACTTCATCGAAGTCAGTGTCATGACGTCCAGTGTCAAGGTGCAGATGTTCGACATTGAAAGGTTACAAAGGAAGCAGGGTCCGACAGAAACTAGAATGTGTGCATTGGGCCAGAGCTATCGAGTCTTTACGCACCAAGACGCATAGTATCCCACAAACCATCAATAAGATGTTCGACATTGAAAGGTTACAAAGGAAGCAGGGTCCGACAGAAACTAGAATGTGTGTGCATTGGGCCAGAGCTATCGAGTCTTTACGCATCAAGACGCATAGTATCCCACAAACCATCAATAAAATGTGTCTCTGCTCAGTGCTGCTTGCTTCAGTTACATTTAATACTCTCAATCAATGTGTAGGCAGTCTTCAGGGACTGACCAATTAATATTGAGGGTCTTCCAGAATACTTTATGCAAATATTTTGAAAGTAGTAAACACATCTTAGGGATTTGAGAATGAATATAAATACATAGCAATACATGTAACGTTACGTCTGGGTGACTGGTATAACGTTGTTTTCAGCATTATCAGAGAGGGGAACACCAGAAAACAGCTTTATACATTGTACCCTTAAGGGGAATCGTACCCACGAGGAGAAAACGCTTTATCCACTGGGCCACCCCACCGTCTCCTTAACGTTATTTATGTACGAATCGAAGCGCCTGCGTAGGGAGTAAAATAACCCCCTTCAGACTTTATACTCGCTTAGTTTCCATGGTGTAAAGTGCTACAAACACAAGAACATGTCCCCCTCACACAGGGTAAGGGTGTGATGAGTGCGTTTGTCTTATGTGACCACTATAATGGTGTGGGCAGACACTGTCGATCACCAGGTTGATTGCATGTGATTTTGCATGTTGAGTACCACAAAGCCCTGGACTAGTGCTTGTGCTCCCAGTCACTTTTTTATTCTATTTTTTGCAGACCGCGTTCAACAATACTGGCTTCGTTTATTCAAGAATTTACTTCACTTTGTGTGTGTTCATTGGAGTATGAACCGTCATAGAGCGAGGGCCAAAGTGTATGAACCTCGCAACTTGCGACGATCGCGACTTTCTTTCAATGTTTGTCCCTCACCCAATGCAAGGTTCATACTCCAATGGCGATTATGCTTGTCGTAAGAGGCGATCGGGATCGGGTGGTCAGGATCGCTGACTTGGTTGATGCATGTCATCGAATCCCAAATACATGGATCGATGCTCATGATGTCAATCATTGGATTGTCTGGTCAAGACTCGATTATTTACAGACCAGGAATATTGCTGAGTGCGGCGTTAAAGAACAAACAAACAAACAAAAATCATATTCCAATGACCTCACACACAGTGAGAGTCAATTCTTATATTTCTTTATATCAATAGTTTATACCTCGAGGGAGGTAGCGCTAGATCTATACGTGTGACTTCATGTTTACACTGACAGCCATACAACAACTAGAATAAAATAGTTCCACAAAAAGAGAGGTGATATGAGCATATGTATGATCAACCTGCTTTACGGGAACATCTGTTTGTTTACAAGAAATGTATTCATTTTGGGGGGTGGCAAAGCCGACGATCATTGGCAAAATCCAAGATGGTCAACTTCATAACCAAAAGTCATAGGATCATGAATAAAGACTCTTTTATGCGGTTCTGACTTCAAGGATTCCAAATCCGATCTTTATTTTGACATAGAATTGCGTTTTGGTCCATTTAGTCGTTGAAAATATATTAAAACATACATACACTCATGCATCCGCCCCGTTTGATGAACTATTTTATTCCACGTTACGGCTGTCCGTGTAAACATGAAACAACACATACTGAATGAAATTGCCCTCCCTCGATCAATATAAAATATTGACATGAAATAAATTCTGTTCCAGTAATAACTTCATTGTTTACCAATAGGTATGATCATTCCATTCCAACCTACCGGATATGGGACCCACTGAAATAATGAAGCGCACGTAAAACATCAGCTAGATACACGATTATTCCACAAATTCTGTCACCATCCTCTGCAACCACAAGATACCACAGCCCCCGTGTCTACTACCAGATAATGGAGTGGAAAGGGTTTAGTGTGAATCCATTCGAGTGGGGATGGCACATGATAGATGGACGTTGCTTACCAATACAGTCAGATCAGCCTGCAGCACCTCCAGCACTCTGTGATATCATCTGCTGTAATTTCAAAAAAAGAAGATGCACTTGCCGGAAATATGGTCTCACTTGCAGTGCTATGTGCGCGGAATACCATGGTACGAGCTGTACCAATAAACAGTTACCAGACTTCTCAGGGGAGACTCAAACCTGTTGAGACTTTCGAGGTGCATATATATAATGACCCCTGCAACGTCTAGCTACAGCATTCACCGTGACAATCTTTCCACTGTTCGTCGTGACCCGTGAAGGTGCGGGTTAGAATATTCTCTTCAGCACAGCAACCCATGCTTGTCGTAAGAGGCGACTAACGGGATGAGGTGGGCAGGCTCGCTGACTTGGTTGATGCATGTCATCGTATCCAAATTGCTTGGATCGATCAATCTCTGGATTGTCTGGTCCAGACTCGATTATTTACAGACCGCCAGCATATAGCTGGAATATTGCTGAGTGCGGCGTAAAACAACTAGTAAAATAAACAAACACACGTAATAATGGTCATGGATCACACAATCATGTAACGGAATGAGAAGTGGATAAAAAGTGTCAGATTTATATTCAAATATTGGTATTTGGTGGTGATATTGCACTTCCGCAAATGAACTACAGAGGAGATAACTCATCGACTTCTTGTAAATCAACTGGTTTGGGGTAAATTCGGAGAGGATCTCATATAGGTCATACTTGTTTCCAACAAGTATTTACATGAATGAAAACGAAACTTGTTGTAGCGTTTATTGTCATGTTAATAAGTAGATTCAGACAATAACAATCAACATTGATATCCAAACTCGACAAAACTCGTCATTTAAGAGATAAATATTGATATGTGCTGGTTATATTGGATTTATGCAAATAACTGAGTATTACACATGTATCCTTGGGTCTGTTTACTCCAATGTAGAAGTTTAAATCACTTAAATATGTCATTAGAGGCCAACAGTGTATTGATATTCTATGCCTAGCCATCAAACTCTTGTCGGCCATCTTGGATTTTTGGGCCACCAGGGGGCTCTGGTGACTGAGTTTCTTTCTTAAAGTGTTAAGTACTCTTCAGTGAGTAAGTGTGGCAAGTTACATGCATTTAAGTCCTGGCACACTGTTTTAGAGTTTAAAGATTCAACAGTGTAAACACACATATAGGAAACTTGTCGGCCATCTTGAAATCTTGAATTTTTGCAGATTTGTCAATAGTTGGAAACGTTCAGTAGTTGTGAATATCTGTTTAGAAACATAATATGGCTATTTCGCAATACAACACATGCTTTTTTCATCAAAACATTGAACCGCATCTGACATATGGACAATATATTGATTATAGGTGGCCAGATTGGATTATGCAAATTAGACATATTTCCCAAACTGGGATTGCTTGGGACTTGAAATGCTTTGTGGTGAAATAAATTCTGTTTGAATTTGTTCCCAGTTGAGTGGAAAATGACCTAGATTGCCTGGGGTAATAGGGTTAGTGCAAACATCACAAGATAGTTCCCATGTCTTTACAAACTCCCCCCGATTTAATGTTGTACACGTAAATATAAATTGTCATTGCAAGAGAATAACCAACCTTGTCGAAAATTGCCGAAAGCTTGTTCAAAAAGGATCTAATATAAAACACAAAATAAAAAAGGCTACAGATCACCAGCAACCAAAATTAGGCCACCATCCTACGGACCGTGGGGTCCAAACGGATTAAGACCAAGTTTTTTTATAGTGTGCAGTGGGGGCTTTAGGGCCCCATTGTACTTTTTGGTGAAGAGCCAGAAAGATGGAAAATATATTTTGTTGAATAAATATTTCTTAATAAATGAGTGAAATTTCCTGTAGTGAGCGTCATCTCTGAGATGTTGACATGTATGCTGATAATCAAGAACCTCAAAACACGAGGGTGGAATAACGGAAGTCATATTAGATCATATATATTATACTGATTAATAAGAAAAAGGTTACTGCCGAGACCATGACGTGTTCTAACCAGTGAAACATTCATAACCTAATGCCATAATGCTTCAGCTGAGTGAGTACTTCAGTTTGATTGACAGAAACATATATTCGGGTATATAGAGGCTTGTAGTCCACAGATATTAACCGGTAAAGTCGTCCCATACTGTTGAGGCCGTCGTTCTTAAATCGGAGGTGACTTTTTCCATACACAGCCCTCCTGAAGAAAATACATAGATTGAATATAAGTTATATACATTTTACCTGATTTATTGATTTTCACTTAATGAGTCGGGTGTATTTCACATAGAAAAATTTGATCAAGATGGCATATGGCATAACATCGACAAGACTCGAGAGAGCGGAAGGTCCGGGGTTCGATACCCGACCGCGTCATACCAAAGGCCGTTAAAAGATGGTACTTGCTGTTACGCTGTCTGGCGCTTGGCATTAAGGGTTTAAAACAAGGACTGGTCGTCTCGGAGTCAGTATACTGTGTCTTAGTGGGGTATCAATGTTAAACTGCGACATGGCATCTCAGTGGGCTAGCACTATAAAATCGGCATTAGTCCGGACAAGTACAAGCAGCCACACACATGTGCATGCACGTCGCTATAAAAATGCAATAATCTTGGACGCGACGTTAAACCCCATTTCACTTAACGTCAGACATAATTTTTGTCACTGATGCGTCGAATGCGAAAATACATTTCTACCATAAAAGTTTTTTAAAGTTTTACTAAAGCGGTGCATGTTGTAATCCAGATCAAACAACTTTTGAACACGAGTTGTATGACCCTCTTCGAAATATTCGTACAAAGAGCATGCTCGATTGTACCTCAACAGTTGTGAAACGTAGATACGAAAGGCTGGAGCAGCTGGAATACTGCTCGACATAACGTGACGGATGACTATCGGAAAGTTGAAATGATCCCTCTTGTGAAACAGTTTTGTGGGTATTTTTGTCACTCTGAATCTTTATGCATAGATATAAATATGAAACAGATGATGCGGTTTCATTGGTCTTTTATTACTAGTTCAGTTGGGTAAACTAGTGAAATGGAATGGGCTAGTTGACCACTATTGAACGATATCAGATTCGATATATGTGAAACATCTTAGCCAAATTTCCTTGTTTTGATGTCCGAGGAGAAATACCGTTTTATATGCATAAAGCAACAGATCAGCAAGGATGAGAGCACCATTGGTGCTCATGAGCCTTTCTGCAAAATGTATTTGGACGTGAAATCCACCATTTCACAATTGTTTTCTAAGTAAACTTCAGATGACACGTGCTTTCATTTTTGACATACTGTCCTCAACGTCTGAAGAACCTCTGAAATGTAACTATTTCTACGGTATCCACGTTTAGTGACAAATGCCCCATGGGCCGAGGAATGAAGTTTTCCATTATGTTCGTCGTGTGAGATTGTGATATACAAAGTTGAAGATCAAATGCTTTTACATATTTGAACTTCTTTTCTGAGATAGCAAAGCTTCAAGCAAATCCTTTCTTTTTTTGAGAATCCACAGGATTTTAATTCAACTTATCTCAAATACTTTATGTGAGTATAAAGAACGGCCTTCCTTTGTTGTATTAAGGATTGTGATTAATCTTTTATTTGATTTGGTGGTACATTTGGTGGAGAGAGAGAGAGAGAGAGAGAGAGAGAGAGAGAGAGAGAGAGAGAGAGAGAGAGAGAGAGAATCTCACCCGAGTGTCTTTTGATATATTGTTTAGTTTTCCCGCTATATAAGCTAAATTTCGATCATGAACCTACATTGTTTCAAAAAGAGCAACATTTCATTCATAAATACGCGCCTAAGTTAAATGTAAAGGCGTAAGTTATTTGTCCATTGTCACCTTGGTATTGTGACGTCATAGTTCTCCTAAATGTTATGACGTCACGTAACTATATGTTACTACTTCATGTCTGTTATGGGGCGGTCGGGTAGCGTAGTGGTTAAAGCGTTCGCTCGTCACGCCGAAGACCCAGGTTCGATTCCCGACATGGGTACAATGTGTGAAGCCCATTTCCGTGATATTGCTGGAATATTGCTAAAAGCGGCGTAAAACCATACTCACTCACTCATGTCTGTTATTCAGTTATGGCCTGACGAGACTCGTACTTGGTACGAGTTGAAAGCGCAAGCCAATTAAAACTGTGTTCAATCTTACTCCACTTATCTCATTATTACTATATAAATACATAGTATATTGTTTCATTTGTATTTCACCATATACATGTTCTGAAAGTGGAGAGCACAATTCTACTTACTCTTCCTTTGTATGGTGCGGGTCTTTTTTATGCGTCAAAGCAGTGTAACGAGGATATCTGCTGAATTCATATGGCATTTCTTTCTTCAGCAATCTGAAAATGAATATGAAATAAGTATGTATGTGGTATTCCACAGGCGCTTTCGTGTTTCCCATGATCATGATTTACTTAGTGAATTTGCCCTTTGTAAACGTCTGGGGCCTACAACTGGTGCCGATAGCACCTGTCGCGTTTGACACTGATACAGTTGCAAGATATGTAACATTATTAACTTCACAAATACCATGAACAATGCAAACTGATACTTACACAAAGTACCATGTGTTGATTGCATTCTACAGCTAGATGTATGTGGTAAAACGTTTCGTAACGTTACGTAACGTTTCGTTCTAGCCTTGTTATACTATTTGCATGATACTGCATGGTATTCATCCTCTTCCAGAAATGAGTGAGCGAGTGAGTGAGTGAGTGAGTGAGTATGGTTTTACGACGCGTTTTAGCAATATTCCAGCAATATCACGGCGGGGGATACCAGAAATGGGCTTCACATATTGTACCCATGTCAGAAATCGAACCTGGGTCTTCGGCGTGACGAGCGAACGCTTTAACCACTACGCTACCCGACCGCCCCTTTTCCAGCAATGATACTGTGACAGTACGAGTGGACATTATGGTACTATGGGGGTCTGTCTTTGCTTATATGGATGGGTCTACCTACATCATCTTACCACAACGGCAAACCGACATTTCTGTTACAATTGAACCGTGGTTATTTCAGTTGTTGAGTTTGATATCTAATCGGGGAATCTTTATTCGAAATGTTTATACCTTTATGTATGTTCGTTTAATTCATTTAGACTTGAGCAACCACGTGCAATCCTGGCATGAAAGAACACTGGTTACAGATGGCTGTTACATTCGTGTACCTATGTCATTTCAAATCAATCTGTTGCACGTGTCGCATCTACTTGGGGATATGTCAATAATATCAGGTTTCGAGTTGAAAAGACACAGGTTATAACACAAGAGAAACCAAAAACGTCCAACTTATTCATGTTCTCTCTCTTATCTAAGTATAAAAACCATAGAGTCAGTTAGGCCGATTTATTTCTATATTGTTTACATTAAACTCATCGAAATTGTGTGTCAACTTATCGGAAGATGGAACCCCGATCATATTAACGCTATTGACGCCATGAGCGAACCTCAGTTGTCAGGGAATGGATCCATATATCATGTCATTCACTAACTCGTAACGAGTCATATTTGTTGTAGTTTGACTATCATATGTCAACATATTGTTAATAGCAAGACCGTCTGATCCTCAACGGTGACACATATAATAAAAGCTTCAAATAAAATAACAATATAATATATTCCTGGTAACATATTAATAACAAATACTATGTCAATCATTGTATACAAATGCTTTTAAGTTATATTATTGGATTTTTTTTAGATTGGGACAAAATGTGTGTAGAACTGATTGCTATTTTTTAGGCTTAGTTTCAGAGGCAAATACACACAGTGATCGTAATCTCTGCATGTAAAACAATGTCAAGAATAAATAACCAGAGCTACAACTGAAATGATAAATAAATAAGTCAAGTGACGTTTTATCGCAAATTTCTCATTTCAATTGACTAAGTTTGGTACCTCCAGCATGTTCATTCACCTGAAGGCATACGAAGTAGTTTTTGACCGTGCACAATACACGAAATAGCAATAGCGCACTATACACACGACAAAACGATATTACCCGATCTACATTCCATATTAGGAATAGCACGCTGAGCAAATGCATGATGTAACCAGTTCAAATCATACGTAATCGAAAGATTTCGAGAGGAATTTCTAAAACAAACGATTTTGTATGAATGAGTGCTGTTGTGTAAAAAAGGAGGGGTACATAGGTCGTGATGATGAAATTAAATTGTGGTATGTCTGTCAACGTAAACTTGGTGGCGCAGGTAAGAAAAGTACAGGGCATACAGACCCCTAACTGCAAGTATTATGCTCCATTTTTATTAAATTATGCGTGAACTGGGTTTGGCGCATGGCTCTCCTAGTCACTGTTTGAAAAGCCTTACCTGTGAAACAGGTCATCATCTTCACCTCCCCACATGAAGAACAAGTTGGAGTAACCATTGATGGCGGAGAAAAATGTCTCGTTGAAGGTGATCACTCCACCAAAGTGATTCTTGTAAAATATCCTGGAAATGAGTGTGTGAGTTATGTATAACGCAGCTATTATTTCAGTTGTATGACAGTTTGTCAGCATTTGTTGGAGTGAGTGAGTGAGTGATATGACTTGGACACCATGTGGGGAATCGAACCCGGGTCTTAGTCTACCCCAACACATCAAGTGAGATACAAAAACATTTTTCTTCATGAACATTTGACATTTCCTTCCCGGTCAGGCACAAACTATACTGAACAACAAAAGTTCCTGTGACATTGAATAAGATTTAAAACAAAGTTATGTTTTTTACCAAATCTGAAACATTTTCGGTTTGCAACAGATAAAAGACTCCTGTAAGTGTTTAAATGGTTTAATTTGCCATACTGACTTCAGAAAATGCGTTATTTCATAAAAAAACATGAACATGCCAAAATGTCAATTTACAAATCAATAGCGTGTGTGTCCACCTATGGTTGCGATGCAAGCAACACATCTTCGTCTCATGGAATGGACCAGGCGTCGCACAAAGTCCTGTGGGATATCTGTCCATATCTGCTGGAGCATGTTTCGAAGTTCCCGGAGTGTCTGTGGAACACGTGGTTGACGTCGAAGGCGCCGATCCATCTCATCCCACATGTGCTTCATTGGTGAGAGATCTGGGGAGTGAGCCGGCCAGGGGATGACATTCACGTTGTTGTGTTGAAGAGGAAACAAGTCGAGCAATATGAGGCCGGGCGTTGTCATGTTGAAAGGAAATGCCTAGGCCATGACGACGCAAAAACGGTAGAACAACAGGACCGATGATCTCGTCCCGGTAGCGCTGTCCATTGAGATTTCCCTCTTCCACAATCAAACGGGTCCTCTGTCTTGCTGTAATCCCACCCCATACCATAACGCTGCCGCCCCCGAACCGATCTTCTTCCATGACACAATGATTGACGTAACGTTCACCTCGACGTCGGTACACTCGAATCCGTCCATCGCTGTGGCTGAGTTGAAAACGAGACTCGTCAGTGAATAGAACTTGTCCCCACTGCATGGCCGTTCAGCGTAGAAGCTGTCTGCACCACTGTTAACGTGCTTGGTGGTGGTTTCCTGTCAAAATGGGACGTCTGGTTGGTCTTCTGGCGACAATCCCTGCACACCTGGGGCGACGACGTACGGTTTGTGAAGATATTCGGCGAAGGTCAGGGATGCTTCTTGCAGTCACTGTTGCTGGCTGGAATCGGTTTCGTAGGTGTGTTGTTCGAATCCAGTTGTCTTGTCGATTATTGCTTACGCGTGGCCTGCCACTCCCAGAATGGTCTGTTACTGCATTCGTCTGTTGCCAACGTTGCCATCAACACCAAATGGTGTTTCTGTGGACGTTAAGTTGTCTTGCAACATCACGTTGACTCGATCCTGCTTCAAGCATACCAGTGGCTCGCAGACGCTCATTTTCGGACAGGTGTGGCATTTCGTAATGTTGAATAATTGCGTAATTTTGTTGTTTTTTCTGAGTGGTTGTTGTCAGCACGATGCGAAACAATGCATGTGGAATCCCGTTAACGCACATGTTTTTATACCCATCTTTGGGTAGTGAAATGCATGGGGCTTGCATAAAAGTCAACTTTTGCATGGAATGCATGCTTTTCTGTAGCAGTTGCGTTTTTGTGACTTGATTCCATACACGTACTACAATATTGAAAACCAAACATTACTTGTTATAAAAATACACTAAAATATTGGTGCCACAGGAACTTTTGTTGTTGAGTATATATAGCTCCCGTCCTATACTGAAATAAAAGTTTTAATTAAATGCACCAGACACACAAAATAATCACTTAAAGTCGACGAACGCATACTTACTATCGGCACTTATCTTGATGCATTATTAGATAATGTGATTAATGCTATTAAGAAACCTTAAAAAGAAATTTGATGAATTTGTGCAATCCATCATTGGAACATCTTTGTTTAACTCCTTTCGTGAAAACCAACCATGCACCACCAGAACTATTGTGAATTTTACAATCTATAGAGAGGATGGCAAAGGGTTGAGTCTACCTGTATTTCAGTATGTCGAGTTCCCGAGAGTGATGTAAAGCCCTCGCACCACACCAGTAGGTATTCCTCTCACTCTCAGGCACCAAGTCGACATCTTGGAAGGTGAAACAGTCAAAATGACAACGAGCCTTGGCTTCAAGGTAACCAATGTTTTTAATCACTCCTCTGTTAAACGGTGTACTATTATCCTGCAAAAGTAATATATATGTATCATATAATGGGTAGGTTTCACGGCAGGATAACGCCAACGGATAAAAACGATATCCGTTGGGGTCATAGGCGGATAGAGATGCAAATATCAAAGGTCAAATAGGGACAACTTTCAGTGTTTCAGTCGTCCTTGTCATTCGGCGATCGAGTCAGATTTAACCATCGGGAATCTGGAGAAACTACTGGGATAATTGCTATCATTATCACAAGAACTGTCTAATATACTGAAAATCAGTGTCTAACTGTGACGTAGCTAAGGCGTTTTACAAGTTTTATCAACTTTGGAGATATAAATTGCGAGATATTTTGCGAGGGCATGAGGCCTAGCCAAGCGGGATCAGTAGCCATATCTGGGCTGGTAGACCTCAGCGGCTTGGAACCTTTTCCACAAATCAAAATTGTTGAATTTGGCCGAAATATGTCAGAATTGTTAACCATTTCGTTTTGTCTCTGTGTACATCTGGCTGCACTTCTTAACGTTATGACAGGACAGGCCGACTGTCAACAACGTCTGATCGTGGCCGTGACGTCTCATTGACTAGGATTAGAGTACGTTCCCTTTGACAAAGGGCAGTTACTCTATCGGACAAACTGATGGATTGCCGTGAAAGGCAAGTAAAAACAAGCTGTATAGGCAAATGTTGTTTTGCGTGTATGTTGTTTCGCCACTGTATAAGAAACAGATTTCAGTTGGAACAAAATTGGTTACACTGTCATTGTCTGACCTACACATCATTTACCCTGTTACGTAATATATATTAATGAGCACATTCCAGGAAAACTTGCAATATTTCGGTAATGTTTGTGTGAGATATTTGATGAGCCAAGGCTCGCTAAAAACAATGGTTATTCCTATCACAGGATATTTATCATTCCCAAACACACTCGCGTGATAACCCCTATATACATGTATTCTTTGTTTTCCTTTTGTCAATCAAGTGATTGATATGAGCGTCAGTTTACGCAATTGTTATACCATGACATGTATCAACCCGATAAGTTGCCTCATACTAGCATGGGTTGCTGAAGTATAATTCTAACCAGAATCTTCACGCTATTGGTAATTTAGTATGATTCATCTGTTCCTTTTCATTGAAAGTCAGTCTTGAATATGGAAGGTGTTTATTTAGTATAAATGTATTTCCTTCTTCACCATGTTACTTCACAACCACACACATTGACAACAAAAAGATCAGGGTCATCCAGCCTAATCCCCCACCACACATGTAATCTCATAATGTTAAAAAAAAACGAAAAAGTGTGACGAGTGAGTGGGTGATTGGATTAACCATGCATTTGAACATTATTTCAGTTGTATGACAGTGTGTTCGCTAGCTGTTTTTAGAAGCCCAACGTGACCCAGGTGGATATTCAGAACATTTGCTGAACCCACGGGTATCGTCAGAGAAAGATGTGGACTGTACAAATGGGGTCACTATTTGGCTGAAATACTGCCAATGAGACTTTAAATGTCAACTCACTCACTTCCGCAATTGTGTTGTCCACACAACGGTGAGACTGTCTACTCCTAAGCTGTTAGGTGTACTGTCAACACACCTGCTCCACTACAAAGATGGCATATTCCGCCTGTTGTTTCTGGAGCACTCTGTGGAGGTTGTTGAGGAGGATCTTCAGGTTCACCTCTCTGTCTCTGTAGGGAATTATTATGGCAAGTCGCTGTGGTGAGGCACATCCAAGCGGTTGGTGGTATCCCCCGGGGAGAAGTGTCTTGGACGCATTCAAGGTCGTCTCAAGATCAAGCCATGGTAGCGCTTCTTTTAGTATTCGTCGTTTCTCTCCTGAAGAAAATATCCGATACAATTACTGACTTGGAAATGATTATTTTCAAAGATGTCTTGTTACACATATACATTCATGGACGCATGCAAGGTCGTCTCGGGGGCACGAGCGGCCGAGTCGCAATTCGCTGTACAGAGTTGTGTCCCTTGGGCACGCCAGAAAACTATAATTGTGGGTTCGAATCCCGGTTCCCCCCGATTATGTTTCTAGGTTTGTCAGCACCATTCCCGTGCTCCTGGATTTTACCGATTAGGTAAATGTCTGAGACCTGCATCACTTCGGGCTTTCCTCCAACATTAAGCTGACACGCCGTGATATAACTGGAATAATGTTAAAAGAGGCGTTAAACACAACTCGCTCACTCACTCAAGGTCGTCTCAAGGTCAAGCCATGGAAGTTATTCTTTGTTATTCGTCGTGTCTGTCTTGAATTATTAAACACATTGCTAAAAACCGTGGATCAAAGATGGCCATGACTGAAATCTTTAACCCCAATACCCCAGTGCTTGAACTACAGCGAGATGTCCACGTGCTAACGTACCCAACATTCATTTAAAAACATGGGAACTTAGAATTTCGCGAATGTATATTTAACATATTTAATGACTTTGTAACTTCATGATACTGTCATTCAGATCGTGCTTTGCTATTGTATGTTTAAGCAGCACTGGGAATCAAAAGCCTCGCTTCGTGAAAACACATCTACTTTCAGATCAATGCAAGCTGTCTAAAGACATCTTAAACATCATGTACAATGTCAGCAGTTTTCTTGAGAAGAGCCTCTATAAAATTTAGATGTGTTCTTTCAATTCTGGGTCAAAACTGGTCCCAGTGCAATTTCAAGTGCTTGACGTGAGAACTATACGTGATCTGATCGCGCTCATGGTGTTAACAACTGACTCGCTATTTATTGGCGACATAATCGTGGAGCTGGACACACTGTTGTCATGTGATCATCCGTCATCAACCTGATCCAGTCGAATTGGCGTTCCAGAAACGGCACTTAAGATATTGCCTGCACATAAGTCAAAACAAAACTCGACGAAAGCTCTTCCTTAATCATAAGACTTTTCTGCTAAAAGCAGAGTCCATTTGGCGATTCAGACTATATCCTATACACGTGTTTCTGAATCACTATCAATCAGCGATAATACCAATGTTCGCAAAAAGGTGAGCGTATCCTCCCCCCACAAGAAATTATCTTATGCTCGATACCATTGTTTGTGTGTTGCCTAACGCCGCACTCAGCAATATTCCAGCTGTATGACGAACTCAGACGAACGCGACAAAACATAATTGGTGATGTATAACTAAACACACATTAAAGGGTAAAAAGAAAAGGTTCAAGGTCCATATATTCCTGCCAAACACTTTTATGGACCCACAAAGCCTTTCTCCTCTGACATAATATCATATGACTATTTTGACACACCTCAAACCTCTGACATGTTTGTAAGGAATGGTGAGTATTACTATTCCAGCTACACGGGTAAACATTTTTACAGATAGGCACATATCGGTAAATGTAAAAGGCGACTATGCTTGTCGTAAGAGGCGACTAAGGGGATCAGATGGTCAGGATCGGTGACTTGGTTGATGCATGTCATCGTATGCCAGTTGCGTGGATCGATGCTCATGAAGTCAATCACTGGATTGTCTGGTCCAGATTCGATTATTTACAGACCCCCGTCATTTAGCTGGAATGTTGAAGATCTGATGTTACGCTTATTTGCCGATGACATTGTACTTTTCTCGTATACTGTTCGGGACTTGCAGAGACAGCTACATGTTTTAAATTGTAACATAAAAGTAAGTGTGTTCCCTGATCTGATTGGTTAAAAAGTGTTGTCGAATGAGCATAACATCACTGAATTTTTGGGGTCTCATCACGGTGTATGTATACATTAATTAATGGAACTATTTTTGAAATCATCAACATGGAGGAACAGATGGAAATTTACCCTGACTTCCACATCGGAGATTTCGATGAAATAATAAGTGAATGGGACGACGAGACATTTTCTGAAATAATTCAAGAATTTGAAGGTAAATGAAATTTACCTTTTTCCATTAATTACACAATCTTAATCATAACTGAAGAAATTTTCTTGGGCTTGGCCAAAGGGAAAAACAAAACAAAATCAACAGAGTAAAAAACATATATTACAACTCTTTAATAGTTATGACTTTCATATACCCACCTAGTTTTGTTATTATTACGGCGTTGGGTACAATGTGTGAAGCCCATTTCTGGTGTCCCCCGCCGTGATATTGCTGGAATATTGCTAAAAGCGGCGTAAAACCATACTCACTCACTCACTATTATTACGGCGTCGTGTTCAAATGAAATTTCCGTACATCCATTCAGCATAACATCACGCAAATCTTACAAAACGAAATATTTATCTCCTAAATACATATCGTTTGAAATGGGGATTGTCATATCAAATGTTATTGTATTTAGAAATGGAGGGATAATCACCAAGTATGAAGCATGGGCACTGGATAATGTGAAGATAAAGACGATAACGTACTATAAATATCTTGGAATTTTGTTCTCCTCACGGTTAATATGGTCCAAAGCATGACATTGTGAAACTCTTGACTTGCAAGCAATAGGGCCAGTTTTTCATTTGTTTAGTAATAACAGCTTTATAGATCTCTCGACTGTTTGTAATATATATAGTAAAATCGATCCAATATTGATGTATGGTTCGGAAATATGGGGTATTAAACATTTTGATACAATTGAAAAGATAGAAACATGCTATTTTAAACGTTTTCTTGTTGTGGGTAAATTTGCAGCTAACAAAGCTATTCTGGGTGAAACTGGACGTCATGGTATGTTTATAAATACGCAAATAAAGGTAATTAAGTACTGATTAAGCTTTTGCGAATGAATGCAAGTCGATACCCCTTCCAAAGTTATATTATGCTTAAAGTATTAGATGAGAATGGAAAAGTCAATTGGGATAATGTGAGATAAATGTTATTTAATAGCGGTTTTGCGTATTTGTGGTTATTCCAAGATGTTGGTGATAAGAACATGTTTTTATCTGCATTTAGAAGACGCTAAAGAGATTTCCACTCATAGTACCATGTTTAGAGTCGTCTATTTTCTGTGCATTATGCTAACATAAAATCTCTTCTGCAACCCGAATTATACATAACAATACTCAAAGACAAACGATTACTTAGAGCAATGTGTAAATTTCGACTCAACATTATTCGTAAAAGGTCATTGTTAACTATACCTAATACAGAATCTATATGAGAAGAATGTGACCTTCATTTATTAGAGGATGAATACCATGTCTTTTTTTGTATATAAGAAATATATTCACTTGAGAACTACCTTTTCTACCTCATTACAGAAATATTATAAAGGTAATATAACGTTTGCAAATTTATTTAAATCATGTGATATTAATATACTACGCTTGATAGCTTTATATTTATGTGAATTATTTAAAATAAGATCGACAGAGATGTAACACTCTGGACATGTGACTTAAAATGCTATTTATCCAACAACTGTACTATGGGCCATGTGGCCTGAATTACGAAATACACTTGACTGATTGCTGAGTGCGGTGTTAATCAACAAACAAAAAAAACATATCGGTAAAGGGGAGCCAGCCTTTATTCGGTACATCTGGCATGATCTTTTGTAAGGCAAACGCCTGCGTTATCATATTACCATATACTTGCTATTGTATTGAATAAGTTAATGCTATTTGACAAGTGATTAATAGCAAAAGCAACACCCAGTGCGGTGGGGGCAAAATGATAAAGAGTCAGCAAGGTTATAATTGTAACCACCTGATTCTTATATCGAGTCTTACAAGCATGGTGTTGCTATTATGACAAGGTTCCCGACAGGTTGTTTGGCATCGTTATATGTAATAATTTCAGTTTGATAAATAACATTGCACCTCGGAAAAGGAATTAAGAAAGAAACCAAAAGCCAACTCACTGAGGTTGTTCTGCTGACATGGAACAAGACTTGGTGAATGTACAGGGAAAACACATGACTGCCCAGTTTCTCTCCTCAGTTCTTCGGGTGAAACATTTTCTTCCTTTACAGAATGGTTGGAGCGTGCTTGTTTGTGTATCCGGGTCTTGTGATTGACAGTTTGGTGGGACGTCAAACATACATATGCAAGTACGATCACGAAAGTCAACTCTACGACGAAGAAACAAACGAATTCTCGGTTATACATTGATATATTCATAATCTTCTTGGGCCAGTAAGTTCCAACCGACCAACCAGATGAACGGTATCCTCAAACTGCGTGAGTACAGATGTTGTTTACCAAAATCCATATCAATTGATTTACAAATCCATATCTATTGATTGTCTGTTATTCGACCAATTGTAGCACGCATTCTCTTGACACAGTGGGGCTCGTCAGTATGGAAGTGCCGAGTAAGCTTATGGTATGACGCTATACGTCAACGTTCATCGCCTGTTTTCGAATTCTTCATGGAAGTGGGTGAAGGTATAAACCTGAACTGCACAAAGATGTTCAGCGCCACGGTGAACTCAGATATGTTCATGGGGCTAAATCCACATTCGTATTGTTTCGTGCGGTCTATTGGGTAGTGTTTCATGTATTGTGTGTCCTTGCAGAAACCACAAGGTCTCTGAAGCTATAACTGTGGTAAATGTGCAGCAATACAATCGTACTAAAATGTCACAATTTTAGTCCAGCCATATGAATAAAACATTGTGCATGGTGAAGACATTCATATGGCGGTCGCAAGAAGCTTTCGGAATACGAACACGTTTCACCGTGCACGCACAAGTTGTATAATAAACGCATCAATCCTACACACGAGTACGCATGTTTTTTATCACATTTAGTAGGCATATGCAACGGAAATACGCAACGGAAATGTGTTTTGACAACGTCTAAACACGGCTCAAGATCCCCTATGCTGACATTTAAGTGTTATAGTGACCTCGTGATATTATTAAAATATTTTGCATTGTGTATATATAGAGAATCTCACCCAAGTGTCTTTCGATACCAAATATATCAACACGAGTTGATAAAAGTGTAAAAACTCCGAGGCTTGCAACAAACATAATTATGGTACTAGTCAAAATAGGGAATTACATCAGACATCATTTTTGTCCCTGATGCGTCTAATTAAGAAATGTATTGCGTATGCCTACCATAAAACGTTTTTGAAAACATTCCTAAAAATATATACACTATATGAACTATGAAACAATAGGTGTTCATTATAGAAAATAGGAAAATGACCATATACATGTTTTATCAACATGGCATATAATTACACGTTCATAGCTAAAGCTATCGTTCACCACATGGAGTCATTAGTAGCAAAGTTCGTGACAGTTGAGAAAGATAAGGGAAAACCCTTTATTACCCACTTCATGGAGGCGGATATAGGAATGGGTGTTGTCCGTCTGTCCTCCGTCCGTTCGTCCGTAACATTTTGTTCAATGAAGTGCAGCGAGTGATACCGTTCAATTGTTAATTACGAAACTTTGCATATGTATCAAACACATGCTAAACTGACACCTGTCCATGCTTCCACCCAACAACGGTACAAGACCACAACACTACAGATGACCGACCAGGTAGTGGAAGACCAAGGGTCACCACCCGACGTCAGGATCGTCAGGTTGTGCGACAGCATCTCCAAGATCGCTTTGTTACTGCTGCGGAAACTGCTCGACAAACCTTGGGGACACACCAGCGACACATTAGTGCGGAGACCGTGCGTCGACGATGAAAGGCAGACACCTCCAGTTCTCCTCAGACGAGAGCCGTTACTGTATCTCAACAGCAGATGGCAGAGAGTCTGGCGACGCCGTGGGGAACTTTATTCGGATGCTTTTGTTGTTGACTCGTGGGATGGTGTGGGGTGGAATTGGTCTTGCACAGAGTGTCGGCCCTGTGGCCCTCCAGAAAATCGGTCCAGGGAGAGGCAATGGTGTCACAGCAGCTCGGTACATTGATCAAGTCTTGAGACCACACGCCATACCACATTTGGCACGTCGGCGCAACCACGAGTTTCAGCATGATAACGCCCGTGCCCACACTGCGAGAGCAACAAGAGACTTCCTTCAGCAGAATGGAATCAGAACCATGCAGTGGCCTGTCCTCAGTTCCGATTTAAATCCCATTGAGCACCTGTGGGGCGAGATTCATAGACGGCTGAATGACGTCCGACCAAGGCCGACAACTAGAGCTGAATTGCGCCAGGCGTTCCTCAGAGTGTGTGCTCAAGTGCCTATGGCCTTCATCAATCGCCTCATCCATTCCATGTATCGACGTTGCACGGCAGTCATCAATGCACATTGCAGACACACGAGATACTGACTTGTGATGCCATTTTCTCAGAGACTAGTGTTGTGTTTAGGGGGTTTAACGTCCACTTGAAAGTTAATGTATTTCGTAGACGGTGTAGGTGGGGAACGATAAATATAAATAACATTTGAATAAAACTAAATCACCATACCCAAAAAACTGTAACTGACGGGACATCAGCCCAATACTATAATTCTATTTCTATAAAATATAAAACTAGTGTATTTACGTACGTAAGAAATATTGAGATACATGTATATAAATCTATTAGTTTATATAATCAGAAGTGAATTTTGGTTTATGAATAGAATGGCCTAAAATGGGTAAAATGAGCAGTCTAAACTATCCTAGTGTGATTGTAGACTAAGTGTTGTGAAAAGTATAACATAATCGGTGATAAAATGAAAGCAGTTAGATATAGGTGCCTACTGAAGACCAAAAAAGGGAATAAGCGCCTCGCGTAAGTCTATATCGGCTGAGGTGGGGGTGAGATGTCTGGGTAGCTCGTTAGCGGTGTGAGTGGAGTAAAGACCGAATGTTGGTGTCCTTGGCCTCAAGAGCTGGCTGGTTGAACGGCGTTCTGATTTAGTGGTATGGTTAAGTAATGTTTAGCGCGTCGTAGAAGACAGTTCGCGCTGGATATTAGAATTTATTTGGGAGGGTCTAAAAATTCAAGAATGAATTTTATAAAGGAGTTGTATATTTTGGGGTTATTTTCAGACCACATTTCACATCAAAACAGGAAGTACACAACCCATTCACACGCACACAGCACTGAACATTTTTGTAAATGGATAAAAGTGCATAAAACAAAACCATTAACATCAAAATATGACAACAACTTATCCCATAAAATGCTTCTATCTATACAATCGTAGGCTTTTCTGAAGTCGATGAAAGCCTCAAACGTTGGTTTTCTTTGACTTTTCCTTGTTTTGACTATAGAGGTGAGTCTATATATGTGTTCTGTGGTTGATCGACCCTGTCTTAAACCGTTCTGGCGGTCGTACAGGGGATCATTCGTTTTCACATATGATGTCAGTCTATTGTTCAATACACCAAGTTATTTCTTATAGCATGCGCTGGCTAGGGTGATGCCACGGTATGCCAAGGGGTCACGTGGGTCTCCGGTCGAACTCTTCGGGATAGGTGAGATGATGCCTTTACATCATAGTAAAGGGACTACGCCCCTACAGAAACATGCGTTATATAATTCATGGAAAAAACGTAAACAGTTTTTATTTTTAAGAACGTCAAGAACGTTAAGAATGTCGTCAATTCCAGGTGATTTACCACGTTTCGCACTTGATATCACTCGCTGCACTTCACGTACAGTTATGGGTATATTTAAAAGACTATCCCTGCTTTTGCTTCACCAGCGTTACAATTTAACAAGTCTGAATACACATCTCGCCACGTGTCTAACACTGTTTCAAACTACCATCACCCAGTTTGACCTGCATGGGAAATGTCCGATTCCTATCGTACCCTACTCCAACTTTAACGATCTTCCTCCATAATTCTGTGTGATTGCCTCAATGTCGCCTTGATCCTTCTTGGAATTCCAAAGTCCATCTATGATGCATCTTCCCGAGGCAAGAGAGTTAACTGACTAAAGTGCAGTTTCCACACTTGCCGAGAATGGCTGGTATTATGGAGTTACATTTTGGCTGAACTAACCAGTCTATGCATAGTCCAATCAAAATCGCGCAACGAAATCCGGTTCGTAAACCGTCGTGCAAATTTCGGTCGATTGCAGGATTTACAAAGCATGTGCACCGCCAACTCGAGTCTATGCATAGTCCAATCAAAATCGCGCAACGAAATCGAAATCCGGTTCGTAAACCGTCGTGCAAATTTCGGTCGATTGCAGGATTTACAAAGCATGCCCACAGCCAACTCGTTGTCAACAGATATTTTCAAAATCTTTCCCTTTTTATTTTGAAGGTGCTCGCGTGATTTGATCGAGCCCAGGAATTCTAGCCTAGTTCGGCAAGGGTGGAAACTGGACTTTTGTCAGTTAACTCCCTTGCCTCGGGAAGATGTGTATGATGTGGTTAAGGGTCTCGCTGCATTCTTTTGATGATATGAAGGTTTGTGGAATATTTGATGTGTCGCACCTTATGTTACTCTCAGATACACAGTTGCGATATTCTGGTTTCTTCACCGGTACATTAATATCAAAGAGTCCACGTCCAGCAACGTCTCTAAATGAAGCAGTAAATACACTAAGTAAGTTCTATAGAATGTCTGGCTTACAAATAAACAGACAAAACTAAAGCTCCATGGATAGGCTCAATGGCAGGGACTTCACCCACATTATGTCCTGATTTGACATTGGCACAACGCAGATTTCGATGTCCTTGGATTTAAACTAAACGCTGGCGTTTGAATAGAACTCCAACAGTTTTTTCACTTGAAAGGGTGAATCCCCATTTATTGCACCATTGATCTACTCCGTCCAGGGATGACTGGAGGTTTTTTTCTGATTTGTGAAATATCTCTGTGCTTTACTTATATTGCTCCGTCATCAGCGAATTTAGAAGTTAGGGTAGGAGAGTTGACATGGTCAAAAAGATCATTGATCATGATATTAAACAGGGTTTGGCTTATAATGCTGCCTTGTGGCGTGCCATTGTCCAGTGCCATAGGATCAGATTGTTTGTTCCCTATTTTAACTGATAGCGACCTGTCTTGCAGGAAGCTGTCTATGAAGTTTGCCATGTTCCCTTCTACTCCATTTTGTGCTAGTTTTGAGAGGAGTCCGTCATGCCATACCATGTCAAAGTCTTTTCTGGAGTCCAGAAATACTGCGGCTAGGCATTGTCTGTTTAATTGAGCTTTTTTATTTCATTTTCAGGTCTTAGAATATGATCTAGACACAAGTGTCCCTTCCTGAAGCCACATTGGTCAGGTTTTATGTGGTTGCCAGTTTCAAGGTGATGCATGAGCCTTTTAGTAACCATGGCTTCCATGGCTTTGCACATGTTTGAGGTGAGTGAGATCGGTCGATAAGAGTTTGGTAGGGCTTCGTCTTTCCCTGGCTTTAGCAGCGGGATAACTGCAGCATATTTCTATGCTTTTGGGACTTCCCCTTTGGACCATATCGTGTTATACAACTCAGTGAGTAAGCCTTTGGTTTGATCAGGTAGGTTTTTCAATATCTCGTGGCTGGTTGTGTCAAGACCAGGTGCTGTGCCTTTTCTAGGTTGTATTGTATAATCAAACTCTGTCATAGTAAATGGTATATTGCATACCAGATGCTTGCTTTGCGGCCGTTTTGAGATCTTAAGCATACGCATTTTTCCTGTTTGAATTCTTTGCTACAATTTGTGTTGCTGCTGACAGATGAGAAATGTTGGCCTTTTCTTTGACTTTATGGGCGTTGGCTAACTTGGGAATTTGTGGGTTTACGCTTACCCTTGACTGTTTTAGCATTTGTTTTCTCATTAAGGGATTTGCAGAAGGTCTGCCATGACTCTTTTTTAGAATCGTGAACACATACTGAATGAAATTGCCTTCCCTCGATCAATATAAAATATTGATATGAAAATAAATTCTGTTCCAGGAATGACTTCATTGTTTACTAATAGGTATGATCATTCCATCCAAACCTACCGGATATTGGACCTACTGAAATAATGAAGCGCACGTAAAATATCAGCTAGATACACGATTATTACATAAGTTCTGTCACCATCCTCTGCAACCACAAGATATCTACTACCAGAAAATGGAGTGGAAAGGGTTCAATGTGAATCCATTCGAGTGGGGATGGCACATGATAGATTGACGTTGCTTACCAATACAGTCAGATCAGCCTGCAGCACCTCCAGCACTCCGTGATATCATCTGCTGTAATTTCAAAAAAAGAAGATGCACTTGCCGGAAATATGGTCTCACTTGCAGTGCTGTGTGCGCGGAATACCATGGTACGAGCTGTACCAATAAACAGTTACCAGACTTCTCAGGGGAGTCTCAAACCTGTTGAGACTTTCGAGGTACATGTATATATAGACCCCTGCAACGTCAAGCTACAGCATTCACCGTGACAATCTTTCCACTGTTCGTCGTGACCCGTGAAGGTGCGGGTTAGAATACTCTCTTCAGCACAGCAACCCATGCTTGTCGTAAGAGGCGACTAACGGGATGAGGTGGGCAGGCTCGCTGACTTGGTTGATGCATGTCATCGTATCCAAATTGCTTGGATCGATGCTCATGATGTCAATCTCTGGATTGTCTGGTCCAGACTCGATTATTTACAGACCGCCATCATATAGCTGGAATATTGCTGAGTGCGGCGTTAAACAACAAATAAAACAAACAAACGTAATAATGGTCATGAATCACACAATCATGTAACTGAATGGGAAGTGGATAAAAAGTGTCAGATTTATATTCAAATATTGGTATTTGGTGGTGATGTTGCACTTCCGCAAATGAACTACAAGGGAGATAACTCATCGACTTCTTGTGAATCAACTGGTTTGGAGTAAATTCGGAGAGGATCTCATATAGGTCATACTTGTTTCAAACAAGTATTTACATGAATGAAAACGAAACTGGTTGTAGCGTTTATTGTCATGTTAATAAGTAGATTCAGACAATAACAATCTAAACTCGATAAATATAGATATGTGGTGGTTATATTGGATTTATGCAAATAACTGAGTATTTTACATGTATCCTTGCGTCTGTTTACTCCAATGTAGAAGTTCAAATCACTGAAATATGTCATCAGAGACCAACAGTGTATTGATATTCTATGCCTAGCCATCAAACTCTTGTCGGCCATCTTGGGTTTTTGGGCCACCAGGGGGCTCAGTTGACGGAGTTTCTTTTCTTTCAGTGAGTTAGTGAGGCAAGTTACATGCATATAAGTCCTTGCACACTGTTTTAGAGTTAAAAGATTCAACAGTGTAAACACACATATAGGAAACTTGTCGGCCATCTTGAAATTGAAATCTGTTGCAATTTGTTCCCAGTTGAGTGAAAAATGGCCTAGATTGCCTGGGCTTATAGGGTTAGTGCAAATATCACAAGATAGTTCCCATGTCTTTACAAACTGCCCCCCGATTTAATGTTGTACACGTAAATATAAATTGTCAATGCAAGAGAATAACCAACCTTGTCCGAAATTGCCCAAAGCTTGTTCAAAATGGATATAATATAAAACACAAAATAAAAAAGGCAATAGATCACCAGCAACCAAAATTAGACTACCATCCTAGGGACCGTGGGAACCAAACGAACTAAGACCAAGTTTTTTTATAGTGTGCAGTGGGGGCTTTAGGGCCCCATTGTATTTTTTGGTGAAGAGCCAGAAAGATGGAAAATATATTTTGTTGAATAAATATTTCTTAATAAATGAGTGAGATTTCCTGTAGTGAGCGTCATCTCTGAGAGTTGACATGTATGTTGATAATCAAGAATCTCAACACACGAGGGTGGAATAACGGAAGTCATATTAGATCATATATGTTATACTCATTAATAAGAAAAAGGTTTCTGCCGAGACCATGAAGAGTTATAACCAGTGAAACATTCATAAATTAATGCCATAATGCTTCAGCTGAGTGAGTACTTCAGTTTGATTGACAGAAACATATATTCGGGTATACAGAGGCTTGTAGTCCACAGATATTAACCGGTAAAGTCGTCCCATACTGTTGAGGCCGTCGTTCTTAAATCGGAGGTGACTTTTTCCATACACAGCCATCCTGAAGAAAATACATAGATTAAATATAAGTTATGTACATTTTACCTAATTTATTGATTTTCACTTAATGAATCGGGTGTATTTCACATAGAAAATTTTGATCAAGATGGCATATGGCACAACATCGACAAGACTCGAGAGAGCGGAAGGTCCGGGGTTCGATACCCGACCGCGTCATACCAAAGGACGTTAAAAGATGGTACTTGTTGTTACGCTGTCTGGCGCTTGGCATTCAGGGTTTAAAACAAGGACTGGTCGTCTCGGAGTCAGTATACTGTGTCTTAGTGGGGTATCAATGTTAAACTGCGACATGGCATTTCAGTGTGTTAGCACTATAAAATCGGCATTAGTCCGGACAAGTACGTTAAGCCCCATTTCACTTCACGTCAGATATAATTTTGTCACTGATGCGTCGAATGCGAAAATACATTTCTACCATAAAAGTTTTTCAAAGTTTTACTAAAACGGTGCATGTTGTAATCCAGATCAAACAACTTTTGAACACGAGTTGTATGACCCTCTTCGAAATATTCGTACAAAGAGCATGCTCGATTGTACCTCAACAGTTGTGAAATGTAGATACAAAAGGCTGTAGCAGCTTGAATACTGCTCGACATGACGTGACGGATGACTATCGGAAAGTTGAAATGATCCCTCTTGTCAAACAGTTTTGTGGGTATTTTTGTCACTCTGAATATTTATGCATAGATATAAATATAAAACAGATGATGCGGTTTCATTGATCTTTTATTTCTAGTTCGGTTGGGTAAACTAGTGAAATGGAATTGGCTAGTTGACCACTATTAAACGATATCAGATTCGATATATGTGAAACATCTTCGCCACATTTCCTTGTTTTGATGTCAGAGGAGAAATACATAAAGCATAAAGCAACAGATCAGCAAGGATGAGAGCACAATTGGTGCTCATGAGCCTTTCTGCAAAATGTATTTGGACGTGAAATCCACCATTTCACAATTGTTTTCTACGTAAACTTCAGATGACACGTGCTTTCGTTTTTTACATGGGGCGGTCGGGTAGCCTAGTGGTTAAAGCGTTGGCTCGTCACGCCGAAGACCCGGGTTCGATTCCCGACATGGGTACAATGTGTGAAGCCCATTTCTGGTGTCCCCCGCCGTGATATTGCTGGAATATTGCTAAAAGCAGGGTAAAACCATACTCACTCACTCATTTTTGACATACTGTCCTCAACGTCTGAAGAACATCTGAAATGTAACTATATCTACGGTATCCACGTTTAGTGACAAATGCCGCATGGGCCGAGGAATGAAGTTTTCCATTATGTTCATCGTGTGAGATTGCGATATACAAAGTTGAAAATCAAATGCTTTTACATATTTGAACTGCTTTTCTGAGATTGCAAAGCTCCAAGCAAATCCTCTCCTTTTTTGAGAATCCACAGGATTTTAATTCCTCTTATCTCAAATACTTTATGTGAGTATAAAGAACGGCCTTCCTTTGTTGTATTAAGGATTGTGATTAATATTTTATTTGATTTGGTGGTACATTTGCTGGACCCAGCAATATATCTCTCTTTGTACGGATTGATATAGAGCTTTGGAATCCAGTATAAATGAGGAATGGATGTCACCGGGTTATAGAGTCAAGAAAAAAATTAATAAAAGCGACAAAACCCTTTCCACAATCATAAGAAATATTGATTGTACGATTCCGGTTTTATCATGAGCATGTGTTTATTATATGATTAACATGTGGCATTATTTGATGTAGTGATTTACATTCACCAATCACCACTCACACACACACACACACACACACACACACACACACACACACACACACACACACACACACACACACACACACACACACACACACACACACACACACACACACACACTTCTGCCCAGACGTTCATTCCCCTGACACGCGTGTGTGCAGCGCGTGTGTAACCTGCTGACCACGCGTGTGCCATGCGTATAACAGGGGACCGGGTTTCATTTGAATTTGACAAATTGATCAAATGAATATAGAGAGAAAGCAGAACAATGAGATGTGAATCTTGAGTATATGAGCGGCCATTGACCTGTGTCCACCAGACAATAAACACAATTTCGACCCGTCTTTATTTATGCTCAGTTGCTGGACTTTGTGACTAGCTGTCTAGGACAACTGAAAATAAAGTGAAATATCTGCTACAAAGACATCGATCGAGGTAAAATCAGTGATTAATCAATCACTTTCACATCTTGTGAGATCGTTAGTGTCATTTCATGTCGGAAAATATGCCAGAAATTGGGGAAAGTGTTCTCACCTACTCGGAGGACTACGTGCTGTTAGTCTTGTTACCCGGCCTGTCAGTGACAAGTTGTTCATCGTCAAAGACACCGATCAGAGAAATCTGCAGGAATGATGATTCTAAGATAAGAAAGGAGGAGATAGAAGAAGTAAGATTAACAACGATAGAGGTGCAAGTTCACTCAAGCGAGGCGGGATCAAACGATGGACACAATGGCGACGGTCAAGGTACAAAGTAGAACACAAGAGTCAGACAGGTCAGAATGTCGATCTGGTGCATACAGACAATGTGAGTAGAGACTCAACACATACATCAAAATGCTGTTCAGTAGAATGTGAGAAAAGCCTCACAGGGGTGATGACAGCAATTGTGTATCTCACAAGACATTTTGATAAAGGGTTAGACACATTGGAGGAGAGAATAATTTGTGAAATGCAGAACATTATAGACATAGAGATATGTAAAGTGAGGTTAGAGATAAGATAGGTGATGTGAACTCTGAGCTCAAACAAATGAAAGATGAACAAGACCAAAAACACGAAACAATGAAAAAGAGTATAGTCAATATACGCAGACAGAAAAGCTATGCTGCCGCTGCAAAAGAAGAAAATAGTGGGCTAAACATTGTGTTGAGAAATGTTCAAGATTCGAACAACGAGTGTGCTACCTCAAAAGTGAATGGCATAATTAAAGATGGACTAAACACACGGACTAATCTTTGGAGACATTACAGCAGTCAATGCTGCTAGGAAATATTCGAATAACCCCCGATATCCTGGTGTAGAAATCGACAAATGCAGATCCATCGACGACAAGAAGATCATCCTGGGTGAAAAAATGAAACTAAACGATAGCAGAAACTTTAGGGAGATTTATATTCAAAAAGATAAACCTCTACAGCAGAGAATATTGGAGAACAACATGAAGTTGCTTGTTGAAATAGTGGGTGATGATCAGCTTAACTGTCAGGAAGCAGACTGCAGCGGGTACATCGAGGGAGGAAGGACTGGTCAAGTCCCGGGAAAGAGGCGAAAGTCGCAGATCGACAGCCAACAGGTTGGAGAGAGACACGCGACACAACCAGAGTGATTCGCTTTCATGTGGTCGTGTTTACATACACGTGTCACGTGACTGGAGCCGGTGTCACGAAATATATTCGCCCCCAGAATAAAATCTCCCCCCGGCGAATTTATACCGGTACAGTTCCGCCCCTCTCGAAATAAACTCTCCCCTACCCTACGAAATAAAATCTCCCCCCAGAATATTTCCTCCCCCGGTCGTTTTATAAATACTTGCCATGCAGTTGCCAATAGTTTTAATGTTAATTTGTTTATGTGTTTTTTTATTCATTTTTTTTTATCTCCTTTATTTTTTCTGAATTATACATTTAGTTACTTGTGTGGGGTGTGGGGTGTGTGGTGGGGGGTGGGGGGTGGGGGGTGTCCCACCTATCCTTTCGTTTTTCATAATATTATATTTTTAAGTTGTATATAACGTATGAATCCCTTCTCAGATTACTTTATCTCAGTTCTATATGACGTACTATTTTACTTTTCTGTGTCGTTCTTGTTTTCTCTTCAGTGTGAGGTTAAACTGTATCATTTTTACTATTTTGATATTTTGCAATATGTTGTGGTCATCAGTTAGGCAAATCAGTTTCGGTGTGTCTTTTTAACAAGATGTTCTTCATTAATATTCACCGCCAGCCCCATTGTTACAATTACATGTACACTTTGCTTTGACGATGCCGGTTGATGTTGTTCAATACAGGTGTTTTTGAATCTATTCTACATGCTAATCATTTCGGGAAGATGATACACATTATCTATATTTTGGGTTACTTTGCTCTATGTTTAACAGGAACCTGGTTGCACCATGATATTCTAGCCCCTGGTATTACACTGATACCATTTTCAAATGGTAGCCTGTATTAAGGTATATTTTAGATCTTTAATCAGAGTATAACGGCGTGGATATGTTGACAGTTTTTACGTAGTTAGTGTTAAAACCGAATGTTTGCGAGGATTAATAAGATGTCTGAAATCAGTTACATCAGTAGTTCCGGTGTCACGAAATATATTCGCCCCCAGATCTAGAATTGCCAATGGAAATACTACACCATAAATGAACTGTTTCGATTTGCGCGGTTTCACCAACCGTTCAAGATAACTAATACTCTCTGTCAATGCGTTCAACGTGTAAATGCATTTCATACCTGATATACTGACATGGTCCCAGCTGGCAAACAAGACTTCTAAGAGCTTACTGTTTCGGCATTACTTCATCTATTCATCGGAGGCAACAGATTTTTGCAAACAATTGCGTCATCACTGATTTTCAGTGATCCATTAATATATTTGTACCGCTATTGTCAACGTTCACGCCAAAAGGAATTTTTTCGTTGGAAAATCGAACTTGGTTATTCTCTATTATTGATGTTTCACATTTCTATGGTTGTTTACGTTATGAGTATTGGTTGATAACAACATCTGGTGTCACATGACACAAAATAATATGTGTATGCCTGAAGTAGATAATGTTTTATTCAGGAAATAATAGCTAGAATTGGTTACCCGAACAGACTAAACGGTTATATTTCCCTTTAATATAACAGTGTTTCAACACACAAAAATGTTAAACAAACACACGTTTGTGTTTACCGTTATACTTGCCCATGTAGCCGTCGTATACATGTAAATATATAAATGTTGTGTACAGTC